TTTTTTTTTTTTTTTTTTTTTTTTTTTCCAAGTCTCACAGAGATCATTACCTTAGTCTATAGTCCATCCTTCCACAACGTTTTCTGAGTTCATTTGGTCCATAACTTCGGGTTCCATCTGTTATGACAGTCTGTAAGGCTGAGGAATGAGGTGGAGTTGGCTCAGTCGGTGGAGCAGGAGGCCTTGGATGTGGCACGGGTACTAAATGCAATAACAGGGTTATTTGACAGTCCAGTTCATTGGCTATTCTCACCTAAAATCAAATCTCCCTGAGGCACGCATCGGACCTCTCTGTCCTTCTGAATCACCCACCAAGTGCACCCAGGTCCTTGGGCAAAAGTAAACCCACGCATGGGTTTACCTTTACCCAGTGCAGCAGTAACCCAGATGGCCTTCCCTAACATATTCTGAATGCGCACTACGGAAGCTCAATCCCCATCCATAGTATGTAGGAAGTTTGATTGAGTAGGGCCCACGTGCTTGACAGATCCTCTGGTATTGACTAACCAGGTGGCTTTTGCTAAATGCACGTCCCAGTGTTTGAAAGTTCCACCACCCACTGCTCTCAGTAACCCATTGTATCACTCAATTTCCCCAGAGGCAGGTGCATGTTAGGGAATGTGATATATCCACTCAATGCCATGTTCTTTGGCCCAGGTGTCTATGAGGTTGCTTCAGAAATTATCCCATTATCTGACACAGTTCTTTCTGGCATGCCATGCCACCATAAGACTTTCTCTTCAAAGCCTAAATTGGTGTTCCGGGCAGTGGCATGGGACACGGCATGAGTTTCCAACCAACCAGTGACTGCTTCTACCATTGCAAGCGCATAGTGTTTGCCTTGCCGAGTTTGTGGGGGCATGATATAATCAATCTGCCAGGCCTCCCCATATTTATACTTTGACCATTGTCCTCCATACCAAATGGGTTTTAACAGTTTGGCTTGCTTGATCGTGGCATGTCTTACATTAATGGATTACCTGTGCAATAACATCCATCGTTAAGTCCACCCCTTAGTTGCAAGCCCATCTATATGTTGCATCTCTTCCCTGATGGCCTGAGGAGTCATGGGCCCAGCGAGCCAGAAATTGTTCACCCTTATGTTGCCAGTCCAGATCTACTTGAGACACCTTAATCTTGGTATCCTGATCTGCCTGTTGGTTGTTCTGATGTTCTTCAGTGGCCCAGCTCTTGGGTACATGAGTGTCTACATAGCGTACTTCAGATTCTCTACTCGAGCAGCAATATCTTGCCATAATTCAGCAGCCCAGATTGCTCTGTTTGCACTGCTGTAACCACCCCCACAGTGTGTTTGCCACCATCCAATGAGTCAGTATAGAGGTAGAGCACTGGCCACTTTTCTTGCTCAGTGATATCCAAGGCCAACTGGATGGCTTTCACCTCTGAGAACTGACTTGATTTACCTTCTCCTTCAGCAGCTTCAGAAACCCGTTGTGTGGGGCTCCATACATATTCAGTGTCTTCACATAATGCGACAGGACCTATCACTTCTCATTATCTGGTAGCTCAGTATATGGTGGGGTCTCTTCAGCACATGCTACCTCTTCCTCTGGTGCCACGCCAAAAATCTTTGCTTTCTGGCCAATTTTTGATCACTGCCAATATTCCTGGGCGGCTGGGGCTCCCTGTTCGAGCCCGTTGTGTGATTAATGTGACCCATTTACTCCACGTGGCATCAGTTGCATGGTGTGTAGAGGGGACACTCCCTTTGAACATCCAGCCCAGCAGTGGCAGTCAGGGAGCCAGGAGGAGCTGTGCTTCAATCCCCATCACCTCTGAAGCAGCTTGGACCCTTCATATGCTGCCAGTATCTCCTTTTCAGTTGGAGTGTAGCAGTCTTCTGATCCTCTGTATCCCCGACTCCAAAACCCCAGAGGTTGACCCCGAGTCTCCCCTGGTGCTCTCTGCCAGACACTCCAGGAGGGCCATTCTTCCCAGCTACAGTGTAGAGCACATTTTTAATATCTTGCCTTGTCCGAACTGGCCCAAGGGCTACTGCATGAACTATTTCCTGCTTAATTTGTTCAAAAGCTTGTTGCTGCTCTGGGCCTCATACAAAATCATTCTTTTTCTGAGTCACTTGACAAAGGGGGATTACAATCTGACTGTAATTTGGAATGTGCAGTCTCCAGAAACCCACAACGCCCAAGAAAGCTTGCATTTCCTTTCTGTTAGCTGGTGGGGACATAGCTGTTATTTTATTAATTACCTCCATTGGAATCTGACGACATCCATCTTGCCATTTTACTCCTAAAAACTGGATCTCTTGTGCAGGTCCCTTGACCTTACCATGCTTTATGGCAAAACCAGCTCTCAGAAGGATTTGGATTATTTTCTCCCCTTTCTCAAAAACTTCTTCTGCTGTATTACCCCATATAATGATGTCATCAATGTATTGTAAATGTTCTGGGGCTTCATTTTGTTCCAGTGCAGCATGGATCAGTCTGTGGCAAATGGTGGGGCTGTGTTTCTACCCCTGGGGCAGCTGATTCCAGGTGTACTGGACACCCCTGCAGGTAAAAGCAAACTGTGGCCTGCATTCTGCTGCCAGAGGGATGGAGAAAAATGCATTGGCAATATCAATCGTGGCGTACCACTTGGTTGCCTTCAACTGTAGTTCATCTTGCAGTTCCAACATGTCTGGAATAGCAGCACTCAGTGGTGGCGTGACTTAATTCAGGCCACAATAGTCCACTGTCAATCTCCACTCTCCATTAGACTTTCACAGTGGCCATATGGGGCTGTTAAAAGGGGAGCATGTCTTGCTCATGACTCCTTGGTTCAGTAGCGGATGAATCAGTTTACGGATAGGGATTACAGAGTCTCGGTTGGTGCGGTATTGCTGTCGGTGCATGGTTGTAGTGGCAGTTGGCACCCTTTGTTCTTCAACCCTCAGAAATCCCACAACAGAAGGATCCTCTGATAGACCAGGCAACACAGACAGCTGTTTAATTCCTTCCATTTCCAAGGCAGCTATACCAAGAGCCCACCAATACCCTTTTGGGTCCTTAAAATACCCTGTTCTGAGATAATCTATGCCAAGAATGCATGGAGCATCTGGGCCAGTCACAATGGGGTGTTTTTCCCACTCTTTTTCACTTAGGCTCACCTCGGCCTCCAGTACAGTCAGCTGTTGAGACCCCCCGTCACTCCTGAAGTACAAACTGCTCCTTTAAAATTTGATGGCATTAGTGTGCATTGCGCACCAGTGTCCACTAGAGCCTTATACTGCTGGGGGTCAGATGTGCCCGGTCACACAGTCCAGTAAACTCTGTTGTCCCTGTCCTCTGCCTGGCTGGAGGCAGGGCCCTTCTAATGTTGGTCATAATACTCGCTAACAACAAGTGGGTTAGTGTTGTGTGCAGGGGTTTCAGCCTCATCTTGATTACTGGAAACTGGAGCAGCATTTCTCCTGAAAGGATGACATTCTGTACTTGTTCTTCCTTCCAGCTCACATACCCACTTTTCTAGGAGGTAGGTAGGTTTTCAATCCCATTTCTTCATGTCTTCTCCACAGCTTCCCCTATGGTGTGTACCAGTTCTCTCAAGTAGAGAAACAATTGCTCCTAATAGCTAAGATTCTGGTCTGTGCAGGTGGGGAGTAGGACATGTTCTCCCTAAGTTGCTGGACATCTTGAGATAATTGTTTCACAGTTGCGATGACGGGGGGAGAGACACTTTCTTCATATTGTCATAGTCAGCGAACCAGTTCATCCACTGTTGGTCTCTCTTTATCTCTCCAGTCCATTAGTGCTAATGCACTACCATATGATGAGGGAGTGCTCTGTACAAAAGTCCTCCACATGGGCTGGGTGCATGGGACTTCCTCTGGATCTGTGTGTAGCTGTGCATTATCTGGGTCATAGTAAACTACCTCCCACACAGCTAGCTCCCTCAAGTATTGAATGCCTCTTTCCATAATGGTCCGCTTACTTGGTCGACATGTCAAGTTGTCCTTGAAGGGATACCTCTCCCTCACACTTGACAGAAGTCGCTTCCATTGACTAAGATTTTGTGTCTCCTTTCCAATAACTTTGTCAATGACCCCTTCCCTAGACAGGGATCCCAGTTGCCTCGCCTCCCTGCCCTCTAGTTCCATGCCACTGGCCCTGCTATCCCAGCACTGCAGCAACCAGGTAACAAGTTGCTCAGCTGGCTGGCGGCTGTAATCTTTTCATATGTCTCGCAACTCACTCAAGGACAAGGATTGGGTGACTATCACTGGCTCTGCCTCCTCCTGTTCTCGAGATGGGTCTGGTTCATCATCACCCTGTACACTGCGAGAGGATTTTCTTGTGTATTTCTTCTTCTTTATGGGAGCAACTGACACTGCTGTGAGCTGGTTCTCTGGGTCAGCTGCAGTGCCTGTCCTCAGGCTTGTAGTGGCTGCAGTCTCTGTTATTTGGTTAATCTTAAATAGTAGCTTAACCATAAACAAAACCTGAACCACATTCAGGAACACGGTAGCTCCTACCAGCACGGTAACCACATACAGATCAACATTCCACAGATATCTGAACCCCCCAAATTTCTCAAACACAGCAGTAAATATCCCCAGAACTGATGACCACACGCTATCATAGATTGGCATCACATAGTTAACCCAAGTCTGAGGGAAGGTGACCAACAGCATGGGAAACAGTATTGTATATGAGGTGATAAGATCTTAAGGAGCCAAACAATCCACATTTTACGCGTTTTTGTTTTTGTTTTTGTTTTTTTTTATCTCCGATAAAAAGAAAAGCCCCAAGTTGGGCGCCAAAAACTGTGGAGGTTTGAACTCAACCGGCAGCCAGACCTCCCCCTCCCCTCTCTGGTAAGATAGGGGAGGGACAAATAAGAGAATTCATAGGTTGAATAAAAGACAGAATTTACTAAATATAACAAGAGAACAAGAGTAACAATAGTGAGTTCAAAAAGAAAAGGTGTAAAATGCAACAGTGGCTTAACTACAGATGAGCCAAGGTGCAGGGAGCCCTAGGGAGAGCCACACCCTGACCTGGGCATGACATCACATGGCATGAAATACTCCAATGAAAATTAACTCCATCCTGGTCAAAACCAGGACACACTCTAATTTAGTCCATTTGTTGCTTTTCCCTAGATTTCTTCCACTCCTAGCAAGCAAGCTCTCTATATAGAGAGCAAGCATGGTGTCTGTGTGTGTGTGTGTGTGTACATACACATTTTGTTAAGCCGCACTTCTTAGCAGGTAAATCTTAATGCAAAATTCTTAATCAGCAGATTGGCAGGATGGGGGACCTGTGTGTTCTCACATTTGGCTTCCAAACTGCAGCTTTGCTCTTTCAAGCTAAACTAAACAAGGGGAAGTAGAGATCTTTAATCTTTTTTAATCTGGACCAGCATAATTGCTTTACAAATAGAAAATGGGCCAGATTTTCCCTTCTTATCTCTTTCACGGCAGCATGGTCTGCCTCCTGAGTATATAAAGGAAAGAAATCAGCCTGTTTTTATTTTTTTCAACTGATGGCACAATCTGGAGTCTGAGTCATGCTGGGTTTTTTTGTGGATGACATCATCAATAATAAAAGCTCTGCAACTGGAGCCTCGTTGGGAAATTTCACTCCTTTTTCCCATGGCTGTGGTGTCTCTGCAGTGCTAACTAATAAGAATAGCTAGCAAGCATAAGTGCAACATGGTTATTTTAAGAAAGTATGCAGCTGTGATTTAAGAAATTATTCTGTTTTGTGAGAAGCTGGTGCTTCTATACATAGTTACTAATAAGCTAACTTGGACTTTCAAATACAAATGCATAGCACTACTCCAAGTGCTACTCTTCATAGCATTGCTTTTAAAAAACGTGAAGACTTTAGTGTTTCTTCAGAAAACACAGCACATAAAGGATTTGTGCTTTTTCTTAAAAATGAATAGCGTCTTTCTTGTAAGTGGGGACATGTTTACTGCACTTAATGTGATTTGTCTGCTTTTTATACATAGTTAATTGGTATTTGAAAATGATGTAGCATATTTCATGATGGTGGATGGGGAGTTCTTTATGAAAATGCATTCTGGTTGTGCTTTTAAGCCCCTCTGAGATTAACTACTGATAGAACTTAATATAAACATTATACATTGTCTTAATACTTCACAACATATCTGTCTTCTAAATGTAGTGTAAGGACTTCAGTGCCATGTTCCACTGAGATGAGATGACCTCCTGTGTTACTGTGATTTTTACCATCTTTGCTTCTGTGTATTTCTATTACTGATTTAATTGGAAAGGCCAGCTACATTAGTAGCTGTGAATTTATAGGTTGAGTGAAGTATGTTGGTGAAAGGACAAATCTCTTTCACTGCAGTAAGTATAGGATATCACTACTAGGTACAAGTCAGATTACCATTTATTCGCTTATTTTCAGAAGAAGATGGTAAGAGTGATAACACTTCATGGCATTTTTCCACAATTTGTAGTATTCTGTAGGAGAGCTGTTTGGAGTTTTTTGCATGATTCTTACAAATGAATCCTGCTGGTTTGACCTTTTGTTCCAGAAGAGGTTTCCAGAAGAGAATAGTAATTCTGATCAAAAATGGTTGTTCAGTCTCTTTTACTGACATTAAGGTCCTTCCCAGTTTGTAAGTGGGTTCTTCTTTAAAAGGTATACAAATTTATTTACTTATTTATTTGTTTGTTTGTTTGTTTATTTATTTATTTATTTCTCTTCCAGGCCTCTGTATCCCAACAAGATGACATTTATATATTTGTTCTTCATACCACTGCAATTGCTCCTTTTGTTTCTCTGGATGTAGGGAGTATAAAAGGCAGATTTAGTGATAATGGTTTCCTCATGACTGAACAGAAGAAAGTGGTTGTGTTTTATCCTTGGGAACCTACCTGTGTTGAAGAACTAGAAAAGTCACTAACCTTGACCTCTCTGGTGGACGTTGTCTGAGGATACTTCATTTTCTTCTAGATAAGGAGCGAAACAGGAGGAGGAAAAAAAATGAGAAGAATTTGACTAAAGTTAAAGTGATGTACAAATTGAGCTGCCTATCTATTCCTGTCATGTGTGCATTTAAACTGCTGGTTCAATGTAAAGATACTAACAGCAAAGCTTGCATATTATTTATGCGGTGTATTGAGACTTTCTCAGATAACAGGAAAAATATATCCCATGTGTAAAATGGGTGAGTCAGTGCAAGAGAGCTAGTCCAAGTTCTTCAATTCACATGAAATTGGAGTTGTGAATTCATCCTAACTCTGAGGGAGCACAAACATGCACCTCTAGACTATGGTTGTAAAAATCCATATTTTTTCCAGTTTCACTCTGCCGTAAGTGGAAATTCATCTTAGGATAACAGCAAGGTATGCTGGGGGCAAGGGAAAGGGGAGGGAATGAAGCTCTGACCACCTCCACAGGTATGCCCTCACTTGGAGTGATTTGATCTTACCTGCACCCAAACAGGGAGAGTACTAGTCCTACCCTTTCAGACAGATGGCTGTCACTCCATCAGGTGTCCTGCCTGCCTCCTACAAAGTAGCCTTCCAAATAGACATGCAACCTGGGCTGTTTACTCAGACATCAGGCAGATCTGTTCCCCCTTCTGAAAGGGTAATTGAGTATGAGAATTGTTTTCTTCTCTCTTTTCATGCAACATGAGCAATAATAATCTTGAGAGCTCTGCTTTTAGCTTTGACTGTTCCCAGAGAGCTGCAGGTGCAGCCACAAATCATTTGCTGTTGCATGGAATCCTACATAATGTGGCACAGTATGAGATATTCCTGGCTGTGGGAGAAGGAATGGGAAGAAGAGTTGACCAAAGGTGCAAAGAGAAAGGAGTCAGTACAGAGAAGAAATGGTCATGTGAGAGGACCACAGAGTTACAAGTGACTGCTTTTTCTTTAGTAGATTGTGTTGGGTGGGTGTGTAGCAGGGGAGTGAGGCTACAGCAGTGGCCCCTGTGAGAAGCATCTTGAAGCTTCCCCAGCTCCAAGTCAGACCCACCTCTGGCCAAGGCCAAGCCAATTAGTGGCAGTGGCTGCACCTCTGTAATGACATATTTAAGAAGGGGAACCTGGGAGGAGAAGGAGTGTGAGGAAAATAGCTATGCAAATAACCAAGGTCACTTGAAGGAGGAGGGGGAGGGGAGATGTGCCAGAGCAGAGACCCCCCCTGCAGCCCATGGTGAGACAGCAGGGCCACCCCCATGTGCCACCTGTGGAGGTCACCAGTAGAGCAGATGTCAACCTGCAGCCCATGGAGGACCCCACACCAGAGCAGCTGGCTGTGCCTGAAGAAGCCTGGGATTCTGTGGGAAGCCCACGGTAGAACAGTCTGTTGCTGGGAGGACTGCTGTCCACAGCAGGGACCCATGCTGAAGCAGTTCATGAAGAGCTGCAGCCCTGTGGGAAGGACTCACATTGGAGAAGTTTGTGGAGGACTGTCTCCCATGGGAGGGACCCCACACTGGAGCAGGGGAAGAGTGTGAGGAGTCCTCCCCCTGAGGAGGAAGGAGTGGCAGAAACACAGGTGATGACTGACTGCAAGCCCCATCCCTGTCCCCCTGCACTGCTGGGGTGGAGGAGCTAGAGAAATTGGGAGCAAAGCTGAGCTTGGGAAAAAAGGAAGGGTGGGGGGAAGGTGTTTTTAAGATGTAGCTGTATTTTTCACTCTTCTGCTCTATTTGATTGGCAAATTGTGTTGCTGCTGTTCAAGCTAAATTGATGTTCTTTTTTTCTTCCCCAATGGAGTCTGTCTTCTGCCTGTGACCCTAGTGGGTGAGTCATCGCTCTTGTCCTTATCTTGATTCCTGAGCCTTTTGTTTTATTTTCTCCTTCCCATCCCTGAGGGGGAGGGACTGAGTGAGTGTCTGCATGGTGCTCAGTTGTCCTCTGGGCTTGAACCACAACATAGATGCATAGTGCAGGGGCTGCTCTTCTCACTCAGACATTGCTGCACAGATGTTCTGTTACTTCCCAGCATCCCTCATGAGTGGCCCTGTGTCCCACACCACTCCTCCTCTCTTTCCAGCAAAAGAAAACCTCAACTTCTTAATTTTGATTCTTTGTGTGTGGATCCCCCATAGAAGACACTGTTGACTCATGATTAGATCTGGTGTCACATTGAGCTCCTTAGTCTATGGAAAGTAATGGTGCTTCACCTTCTATCTGACTAAGTTTTGAAAATGTTTCAGTTTCCCATAGAAATGTCTCCCTTTGGCATTTGATACAAAGAAAATAAGCTTGCTTCAGCATGGAGGGCTGCTGTAGCCTGTGGAGCTGAAAGCCTGAGGGTTTGGCTGTCAGGAAATCCAGGCCATCAAGCTGTGCTGTGGGCAGATTGCTAAACATTTGGCTTGTCTGTCAGATGTGGTTTGAAATGCAGCTGGGGTCTTGCTGGGGTTCCACAGGCATCCTCTCACAGTTTTCTTGCAAAACACCTAACAGAATCAGCACTTTACAATAGAAGGTGTTTGAACAAGGTCTGCTGGTGATGTCCATCTTCATCATAGAAGCGCCACGTGGGTGATGGTTGGTATGTGGGGAGAGTGCCTGCATGTTCCATTGGTCAGTTAGAGAACTTGGAACTGCGGGTTGTTTTCTTGCAGTGGTCACAATTGTAATGGGCAAAGAAATGACCATATTAACAGATGCTTGGCAATCTCTGGTGCTTTTTGAATTGGGCATTAACCAAGACTGGCAACCTCCTGAGCAAGAGGAAAAACGTAAAGATGAGAGGGAAATGATAAATGGGAGTTGCTTAGAAATGCTTTATTAGGTCACCAAAACAACTAACTGTAGTTGCATAGGAGGGCTTTTCTGATTCAAAACTTGCCCTAGTTGAAAGAAAACATGAAAGCAATCGAAATATGTATGTGTATGTGCCATTGTTCATAGGTTATATAAAATAGGGAAAATGATAGTCATGAATAAAACCTAACAGTTAAAAAATGCAGACATTGATAAAGGAATTAAAAAATTATCCAAGAGGCATCCTGGGCCAACAATACAAGAAAAATCTTCTATTTTTTTTCAGTGTCCTGGAATCAAAGCAGCAATAGAATCAATATAAGGTAAGGATGAAAAAATGTGGAGAAAATGTGGAATAAATATGATTAATAAATAGTTGCATTGTATTTGGAAAAGGGCAAGTTGGTTGATGTCTTTCTCTTACACTAGAAATGTCTCTTCCAGCAACATGTAGGCCAATTTTCAAAATTGCCTAATAGTGTTAAATAAATAAAACTGCAGCAGAATCACTCGTTTCAAAGACAATGAAGAGGACTATCTGGAGGTTGACGATGTTTGTTCTTAGTGCATCTCAGAACATGAGTGAAGTTTCAGAGGTGTAGAAAAGAGCTTTTGGACTGCTAGAAGCCATAAACTATACATTTTGACAACAGTGACCTTGTTTAGCCTGTGATGAATTTTAGGCAAAATCATGAAAAAAATGTGGTACATGATCAATCATTGATGAAGTGGCTGTGCAGCTAATGCCTGTCAGTACTGTTATGCAGAAGAACATTCTTTTATAAAATGGTTGGTGGTGGGGTTTTTTGCTGTTACTCTCTGCAGTTACCAGACTGGCATATAAAGGTTTGGACAATTTCTAAATTATTGTTATTTTTGAAGGTCAGAAGCTCCCTAAAGAGTGAGTCCATTCTTTCTCACTGGAAAGCTTTAATTCAGCACTAGGTGCTGTTATGAAAGATTAGCAATTGCTTAAGCCAAATGATTGAGCTCAAAACAGAATTTAATGGGGGAGGTTCACTTCCATTATTGTCTTAATATCCTTAATATGTTCTTTTGGTTTCCTGCTGTTGTAGTAGGTATGTATTTATAGATGCTATTTTCTTCTCTGCCCTGTGCAGCAGTGGCTCTAACATGTCCCTTGGTTAACCATTTCCCCTTGGTAGTTTTGCCGTTGCATACCGTGCTACACTTGGTTACATTGTTCTGCCTTTGTCTCAGATCAGGGCAAAGATGGCAACTCAGCAGTGAAGAGATCTCAGAGTTCCATCACTCCTACATGTAGCCATCTGAGTGTCGCTGCGGCTACTGGGCAGCACCTGTATTGCCAGTTGTATCTGATGGGCTGGGGATCAGCAGCAGGAGCATTAGGAAGAGCATTTGGGGAGTGTCATGGTGCTTGTCCTCGGTGTCATTAAATTGTTAGTGGCAACAGTAGAGGGGAATAGCTTCATCAGTATTCTTTCATGGTGAAGCCCTGCAATGTTTTGTTTGAGGGATCACTGGGTTTGCTTGTGTGAAATGGCCTTTTGTTTGCTTCTGGGCTCCCTCTGGGCTGTTCTCCACAGATGGCAAAAGCAGCAGTCGAGTTCCCCTCAGCAGGAGCCATGACAGATGCCCTTCCAGAACAGAACTTGAGAGCAGGTTCTGGAAGAAAGCTGTGTAACATTGGCTAATTTGTTGTCCTAAAACTGGTCTCTGGCAGAGATTTGGCTCTGAACCTATTCAGGACCTGCAGAGAGCATTTTGAGCTTTAGAGGGCACCTCTTTATTGGTACTTTCTGCCACACCAGGAAGACTTACTTTGCTCCAGTTTAGCACTTCCTTGGAAGCTTTTCCAAGTTCTTCTACATCTTTTCCAGGAAAGATACATATGAATGAATCTAAAGTTCCTCGCTAAGTAAGTGTTCATAGCTCTTTGTCAGTCTTTGCTGTTACCTGCTGTTATCATACCTTGCCCCCCCCGCCCCCCTCTCCTGACAGTTCTGCCTTGGAGGCATGTCTGTCTTCAGTACTTTCCTTCTATGAGTCGCCTTCTGTTTTGGAGGTGTGTAGCAGAGACTGCTTCAGTGACTTGTCGCAGTGTCAGGTGCAGAGGAACAGGGCAGTGAGTTTCTTATTCTCAGTAAAGGACAGTTTGGTTTTGTAGCTTACAAGCCAGCCTTTACGTTGTCAGAATCGCAGTTTTCTTTCCTACCCTCTGAGGGGTAAGTTGAGTCATCCAGGAACTTGTGGTTTGAATGTTTAAGGACATGTTCCAGTCAAAGAGTCTGGTTTGCATAACTCTGCTTTACAGTCAGATGTTACAAGATAGCGAAATGAAAGCCCCAATTTATATAATTAGAGTGGAAAAACAAAATTTAAGTGAAAGATACAGAACCTTAAAATTACTTGGTTTTGTCCCTGCCAATATTGAAGAAAGGCCATGTTACTGTAGGAAGTGGAGTCAGTTAGTAAAGACCTGTAAATGTCAGTTTTGATTATTAGTGTGCATTATAGCCAAAATAAATGTGTCTTTAGTCTAGGCCACTACAGCAAAGGAAGCATGCTGCAGCAGGAAGGGACACAACACCCTGGGGACTAGTCAGGACAAAGGTGGTGGTCTGCTTTTGGAAGTTGATCTTGAGATTTCTTCATGGGTTCTCTGAGTGTAAAGTGGTTCAGTATTTCTCGCTCTTTGCATATTTGTTTTACTCCATGGCTGGCTGGGGACCTGTTTGACTCTGTTGAGGGGAATGGCTGTGGTTGAAGGGACTTTACCCTTGCGTATTAGAATCACTGGCCTGTCTGTGGATTGAGATGGGTTCTATGGCCCAGTGAGGAGTTGAGAAATCTAGAACAGGAGCTCTAAATAAGAATGAGAGCTGTCTGTTGAGCTGGTGGCCTGGTGGGGAAGCATGCAATTGTCACATGCAGGAGCTGAAACTTTTGATCGTTTATTACAGTGGTGAAAACTCAAAACATTAAATGCTGGCCTGTGATATCTCTTTGCAAACATTGTCATTGCCAGGCTTTTCCAGCCTTGCAGCCTCTCTCTCTTCTCATGTTGTAGCAGTCCTCCTTTGCCTGTTGTAAATAAGCTAGACAGTAATACTCTGGCATGCTGGCCCTGTGATTCTGTCTTTGCAACTAGCATATGATGTACCAGGATTTAAGCATTCGGCACTGCAGGCTTCAGCTTGAATCCCCAGCTGTAAAGGAGTGATGTTGTGAGCCAGCCCTCAGGTGGTTTCCTGTGAAAGAAAGAGTGGGAAGCTTTATCTCTTCTGAAGAGCTCTGTCAATGAGCCCAGCTAACTCCTGCCCCAAGATCCTCTTCCCCCTCTGGGACAGGTGCATCCCTTCTAATGCCAAACGCTCTGGTGCCCTGTATACCAACCCATGATTGAAAAATCTAAAACCCTGACAGTAACACCAGCCTTGGAGCCACCAGTTCATCTGCTGAGTTCTCCAGTATTCTTCTTCATCCATCCCCGCAACTGAAGGGATGGAGGAGAACACAATTTGTGCCCCCGACCCCTTAATCAGTTTCCCCAAGGACCTGAAATCTCTCTTCATTGCTTTAGGACTTCTCCTGGTAATGTCGTCGCTACCTACCTGAAAAACTAAAAGAGGACAGTAGTCCTTGGGTCTCACTAGAGCGGGCAGTTTTGCCGTGAGGTCCTTGATGCAGGTCCCAGGGAGGCAGCAGACTTCCCTATGAATCGGGTCTGGTCTGCATATGGGGCCTTCGACACCCCTCAGAATGGAGTCACCCACTACAATGATCATCTCTTCTGGGGTTCTTTTCAGAACTGGTTTTTAATACCTGCTCCAGAATGAACCGGCCTTGCTGGACCTTGGTCTTCCTCCTCGTTTGTCTCATTTTCTTCCTCCTTCTCTTCTTCATTCAAAAGTTCTAGGGCCCCAAATCTATTGTGAAGAGGCACCATGGAGGGTGAGGGAGGTTGGGAGGGGATTTTCCTGCCTCCCTGAGCAGGGACCTGTTTCCAGCCTCCCCTGTCTCTTAGGTCCCCTCCTTCTGCCTGGTAGCAAGAGGATGAGGAGTTGCCTGCCTCTTCTGGAGCCTCCATTTGCTCCTGTTGCTTCAGGGATGCCAAGGTGCTACTCCACCAATCAGTTTCCCGTTCACACTCCCCAATACTTCTTAATCTCTCGACCTCTCCTTGAGTTCCACCACCAGGCTGAGCAGGTCACCCAGCTGATCGCAGTGCACACGGGTGCTGTCACTCTGCCCTCCGGCAGGACTGACAGGCTCAGGCACTCCCTGCAGCCTGGGACCTGGACGGCTCCATGTTTGCGTGGCAGCTCCGTCCGGGTCGCCACGTTCTTTCTGGTGGTGGTTTTGACGCGAGTGGGGACCGTGGTTCAGTCCACCCGTGGAGGACAGTAAGATGGAACTAGCTCAGGTAAGTTCTAGGCCCCGGAGAGGGCCTGTGCCCTGCCTGCTCACCCTGTTTGCCCGCCCTGCTGCACAAAGCGCCTCACCCTTCTGATGCCGCTCGCACCGCCTCCCTGTCGCTCGCACCTCCTGCCCTGGGCACTGCTCTTGTCTGTGAGGGCCGTGGGGTGCCGTTGCTCCCGTCTGCACCCACTCCCTGCTGCCCTGTCAGCAGCAGCTCACTATTCCTGCTCCGGGGGGGTGGCTTGAGCGTCTCCCTCCGCCCTGGGCTTCTGCCTTCGCGTCCTGCGGTTTTGCCGCGGGTTTTTGATGCTTTCAGGAGGGTCCCCCGCCGCTGTCCTCCTCCTCAGAGCCCCTCTCCTCAGCAATGTAGGGTTTCTTGGCTGGGGTGGTGAAAACAAGATACTGAGGTGGTAGCACATCTGAAAGACAAGTGAGGCATTAGTCATGCTCCTGTCTTTCTAGCAAACGTCACTGTATTATCTAGAGCGAGGAACATGAACCTGGTGTGTGCATGAGCACATGTGTGTGGACTCAGCTGGAACGTTGGCAAGTGCTGCTGCAGGCCACGGGTTAACTGGTGTTAAGTCAATCACAAGTGTTTGCCCTTGCAACGTGTAATGAAGTCCATTGACCTCCTAGTGCTCCTCTGTATTTTGAAAATAGCAAGGGTGAAAGGATGGGTGAAAAATTTCTGTAGCAGTTACTTTTAAATGAGTCCATGGGGAAACCTTTACAGGCTTTGAATAACATACTGCAGCCTGGCTCTATGCAGTGCATAAGGCTGCTTCACAACCCTGACTACAGAAAGGCAACTCCTAGGTAATTAAGCTGTGCTGTCTTTTGTTTGTAGCTGTAGGCATCTTTTGAATCCAGCAAAAGTTCAGACCACACATTTGGCAGTTACTCCAGAACTGCTCTACTGTAAGAGAACATCATGTCCTCCAGAAGAGCCGAAAGCTGGGGATGGTTGGTGAGTATTGACCATTGCACCCTGAGCTAACACATGGGCACTGCCATTCCTGTCACTTAGCTGGAGGGAGGAGGGTTGCTTTTCTTCCTTAAATGTGAGAAAACAACATTTTACTTGCCCAGAAAAGGGATAAAAGACACTTCATACACTATGTGCAGACAAGATTCTTGTCCTTCCTGCAGTCCACAAAAATCTCTGAATTTTGCTTAGAACTCCCATTACCACACTGGTTTTCAAGTTTGTAAATACCTCCCAAGGTAGCACCAGAAACTTAGAGCTGTGTCAGCAAATCTAAAATCAAGGGCAGTTTAGCTTTCTGAATAATCTTTTTTACATCGAATGTATGGCAGATCTCTCGTGGTCTGGTGTCACAACTTATTTTTGCTCCATTCCACAAGTTTCTTATGTTTATTACTTCAGTGCGGTAGCAAAATAATGTAGTGAGTTGTAATTACTTCAAGTGCAGATCAAGTTTGGAATTATTTCAGATTTTGATCCTCACTGTAATTCATTTAAAATTTAATACTGAACTTGACTGAGGATGCCCAAAGGTTACATCTCTATATTACAGGGAAAAAACGCTCCATTAGATAAGCTTTCTTATTTTAATATTGATCCATTTGAATTCTGCAAGTGTTTCCAGATAAATCTGTGCAGTCCCTGTCAAAGGGACAGGAAGCATGAGTAGCACTCGGGAGGACAAACCCATGAAATCAGCTTTTAAGGATCAGTTTGAGGTTGCTGGTTGATGCTTTTTGACCACATCTCCAGCCTCAGTGCTTTAGTTGCTAATGGAAATACACACCAGGCTTCCTGCAGCATGATGGAGTGCATTAGAAAAGCCCACTGTGGCGTGGGCCTAGTCAGTACTTCTGTGCATCCAGCCACTTGTGCAGAAGCCCCACTCTAAGTGCTTGACAGCTTGCTAGGCAAGTTTTACTAAAAGTTCTAATGGAAAAAAACTCCTGAAATGCCATTCTTGCTGTTTGTGCATGTATCTTAAAAAAAACCCCAAAACAAACCAACAACTTAGTCCTAACTTTAGAGAACTTAGTGACTAATAATACTTCTCTGTTTTGCTTCCTTAGAGGTAATATGGAATAGAGTGGGGACAATACCCTGTGCTACCCAGTCTAGTGAGATGTAAATGCTGATATAATAAGACATTACAACTCTCTTTTTAGCATTAAGCGAGAGAGGTTCCTCTCTATAAGCCAGGTTTAGACAGCTCTCAGGCAGCTGAATTCCTGCAGGACTGTTTTTAGTTTATTCCATCACACTTGTGAAATAGGAGTAGCACCTCTTTTCTCGGCAAGGAGGCATTAGGATAGATCTGTGCCTGAGATGAGCAGATAGGATGATAAGACACATAAATATATTCTGATAGTTACAGCTGCTTTAAATGTTTCTGTTGAGACTTGTCTGCATTGCTTACACTTTTTCCGGCTAACCTGTTTCCTCTGTATGCTGCCTTCAGCCCCATACCAGCAAGGAGCCTGGCTGCTTCCCAGGTGCCATCAGTACAAGAGTGTGCCCTGTACAGGATCGCTACCTACTAATAACATAAAAGGTAAAGCAGGAAGAGTAAAGATGTGTGTGTTAGCATTTTCTTTTAATTGAACTGCTTGAGGTAAACACTAAGCTCTCAGTAGGTTTGCTCTGCCAGATGAGAACTACCCAAGAAGACACAAATGGCTCCTACTAAATGTCATGCCACTTTTCTGTAGTATGTCCTACACTAGCTGGTGTGCTCTACCTCCTACTCACCTAGTTCTCACAGACTGTGTGCTATGCCTGCAACACCTACTTAAGATGCTAAGGGTTAATGCAGATGGGAAAAGTTGTCCTATGACGTATGTGACTCAACTGTAAAAACGGTGTTCCTGTTTGAATTAGTAAGAATATTTTAAAATTAATATTCTTCTATTTCTAAACAAAAAAGTAAAAAGAAGGACCAAAGCCTCTCTTGTTAAATACAGTGAAACTGAGATGCTGCAAGGAAAGAAGCTACCTGACTGCCATCTAAAGCAGTTGAATTCACAGGGCCTAGGGGAGTTGTCCCGCTGTTCATTGCAGGATTACTAACCTGATGAATAGCTATTATGCAGCATTTGGCATTGAAATGCTTAAGGAAATACAGACCCAGGTGTCTTCTGGTGGTTTAGAAGCAGAGCTGGTCAGAAATAAGGCTAATAGGTATGAATCACCAGCCAGCATGCCCTGGTGATGGTGACCTACAGGATTGTAGAATCCTCAGGAAAAGTCTCTGCCAGCCCCTGAGCTGTTCTGGAAATTCTGAGGGAGCAGCAGGTGTGTTTGACTCAGAGAACAGCTCTTCTAGGGCTCAAAAAGCTCCTCAACAACAGAATATGCAAACCTTTCCCTCTTTCTGTTACAGCTGGAGTGCAAAGAGACTACTGGACAAGTACATTAATTGACCAAAAATCCATACGCCTTTGACACTGCAGATGTAGGTTACACATCCAGTAACTGAAAGGATAGCGTTTTTACTGTTACACATCTTGTTTCTCTGGAAATAATTAATGTACTTGGTAATTCAGCTGGATATAAAATTATATCACAAGTTTGGGTTTTTTTCATTACTCGTGGTTTAATTCATTACAGCAACTACTGCTCTAAACTAACAATTCTAAAGGTTTATCTTGATTCATTTTCTCAGAAGTGACACCCAGGTTACTGAACACTGAGCTGAGCCAAGAACAACACTGTCAACCTCCAGCTTTGTGCCAAGAAAAGTGGCTACAAGGGAGTGACAGTGGTTAAATGCAGCTCTTTGCTTTTTCATCATGAAATCTGATACCTGTTCTGTATCCTTAGCAGGGCCAACATCTTAACAGTTACACTCACTATCTCAGAATTCACATGCAACAAGAAATACAGCTCAGGAACACAGTAGAGGAGTTTCTCGACAGTCCAAAGAACTGTCTCAGAGTTTTGCTGAGATGCTAAATAGTTAGTTTCAGCGTAAATGATTCTCTGCTGCCATAATTATGAGAACTAAAAGAGACCCTGAGTCAGAGGCTTTAGTTCCAAAGCACAGCTGCTCAGCACTAACTGACACTCTTAGTCTCCCACTATAATAGATCCTTAAACGTTAAGACAGGTGGCTTGCAACGCTGTATTTATTTTAGTACTTAGAAATCAGCATGATCTTGTACCTAAAACCAAAATGATAAATCTTCAGTGTAGACAATACAAGTGTAGACAAAAGACTTCATTTTGGGTTTTTATTAAAAAAGTAAAATAAAAATAAGCATTTAAAAAGCACATTTTTTAAAAAGGAACAGATATTAAAAAAACTATTTACAATAGGAAAATGCCAAACTTGAAAAATTTTTTGAATAAGAGGCACCAAAGTTAAGTTTAAATACATTATTTGAAATATACACAATTCTTTTTTTAGGATTCTCTTTTCTCTCTATCATTGTTGTGATTAAAGTCATGGATTTTCTTTACAAGCTATTTTATGAGACTTTCTTGCAACTGTGCTGCAAAAATTATGCAGAGAGCAGCTAGAAACTGTATCTGTTGATTGCTCTGTGTGCCTTACCTCTTTTTATTAAATGAGTTGGTATGCATTAACAAGGAGTGACTTTCATCTACGAAACAAAATTCTCAGAAACCAGAAAAGCTCCTTCAGTCGTTCACAGTGTCCAGTCCTGTGTATTACTGTGGCAGCAGAGCCCTGGTTACCATATATGGCTTGTAAATGAAGACAATTAAATGTACTTGAGGAAGAAAGCAATGGCTGGGAGTCACAGGCTGAAGCTGCTGTTGGTTCAGGTTTGTGTGTGGTTCCTCCAGCAAGCTTTTGGTTGTGAATTCACTTCCCTTGGACCAGGATGGCAGCAATGTAATCTGAAATGTCACATTTGTTCCTGAAACTGCACACTGCTAATTGAATATTGCTAGTTGGCTATATAATTGCTCTGCACTGAACTTTCACGTCCATAGCCCATGGTCATTTTGCTAAGTGTTACTGATGACTTGCTGTTCAGAGAGTCTGAATAAGCAAAGCTCAGTTTGCGCAAGGAGGTCTCCACGCCGCTGTCACACATGCTTTCATTGTCTTGAAATTTGCTATTATAAAGCTCACCTGAGGGAGAGAGAAAAAGGGAATGTATTATCATTTGTGTTGTTTTCAGGAAAGCTGAAGGAATACAAACCAATAGGGTTAAAGCTCTTCTACAGGAAAATTACTCTAACTTTAGATATTATAATAGGACTGTACTGAACGTTTTTAGTTGACCAAAGCATGGCATGTGATGCACTGCTGGCAGTGATTGATGGCAGCTGGAGCTTGGATGGGATGAGAAGCCTGGAGCTCTGCTGACACTCATGCTCTCACTGCACTAGTCAGGACTCCGCCCGAGTGTGGCAGTAGCAGGGCAAAGGGTTCTTTGGTTCTCAGATTCATAGACCAGGAAGAGCCTCCTAAAACTTTCTCATGTTATTTCACTTACAGATTTCTTTTTGAGAGAAATACTTGAACAATTTTCATCTCATAAGTGAGCCTGAGATACAAAGAAGGCAGCAGCAGCTGCTGTCTGTGCAAGATCCACAGAAGGAGTGTCTGACTGTAAGAGAGCAGTATCCAAGGTATGATGTGGGCTCACTGTGACTAGAACAGTGGTCAGCATTATTATCTTAAAATAAATGATGTGGTGCAGTCCATTCATGCTGCAAAGCAGCTGAACCCCTCTTACCCTTCCAGATTAATCTAAAGAAGCAATATGTGTGCAACCACATTTTTGGATAACTGTGGAAGTTCATTCCACGACTCAACAGTTTTGTACAGAGTAAACTGGCAATGTTGGACCAGGATGGAGTTATGGTGGCATTTCTTTTTTCTTTCCAGAAATATCTACAGTATAAGTTTCTGAGTCTAAGTTTCCAGAGCAGGGTGCTGGCATCATTACTGGTGCTTGAACAGGGCATAGGGGCAAAATTGTTACTTAATTGTGGCCAGACAGTGACCGAACATCCCTGATGACTTATTACTGCCTTCTCACAACTTCTGTTTTTGTTAGTAGAGTCCCCTGCCCAAAACCACCACAGGACCTCTATGGCTGAAGATGGTCAAAACTCAACTGGACATGACACAGGCAACCTCTTGAAACATTCTATTGGCCCTGCCCTGAGGAGGCAGTTGGACAGCGTGACTGCTGGAGGTGCCCTGTAACCTACGCCATCCCTGAATTCTCTGCCTACAGAACACTGGGCCATTTTGGAGTGCCACACATTGTGGAAGGAGGAATTTAATACCAAAGTCTTCCTGAGAAGTTTATGAACACAAAACATTTTCATTTATCCAGATGTGAGAGGGAAAAAAGTCAAAAGGTAATGGCACTCATACAGGCCTGGGAGATCACTGCCTACTTTATCTTTTGAAACTTATCCACAGTACATCCAAGGAGTTACCATCAGTAAGTGGCAGATGTCTGCTTTTAGAAAAGGGAGGCAGTGCAATCAGTACTGTAATGCAGGGGTACTGAGGCAAATGGTCCATTTTTCCCCTCCTTTTGAGGCCTAGCAAATGCCTACAGTGAGAAAGTTGTGCTGCAGTAAAGTACTTCTGAAACAGGTAAGCAGCTTGGGCAAGGTGTGTAAAAAGCTATGCAATCTCTCAGCAGTCCAAGGCAGCAAGGGAGAATGGAAAAAACATCTTAAAGCTTCTGATGTTTTGCTGTCAATTTTACCTGTCTCTCCATTGGCAAAGGTAGGTGGTGATAACAACAGAAGAGCTTTTGCTGTATTGTCCTCCAGGTTAGACAGGCTTTGTGAGACGGACAGTGCTTTCTGAATGACTTCAACGGCTTCTGTGTGACCCATCTGTCTCAAAGCAGCGATCAACTCTTGAACTGTACCACCAGAAACCTAAGAGAGAAGATACCAGATGGCTCCAGGCTGGCTACAACCAAAGGGCTACACTGTCTCACCAAGGAGGAGGACAATGTTGTCTACATGTCTGAGTGTTCTTCCTAACTTGTTATGGCCACATTACCTCGTAGTTATCTAGCAGAGTTTTTGATGGGGAAGGGCTCAACCTGAAGGCATTATTAAGTATGCCAAGACCTAGTTTTTGTGCTAGAGTGGACCAGTTTTTGTTTGGATCTGGCAATTCCAATAGCTTGTAAAGCTGCGTCTTGAAATTTTCTTTCAGGTCTCTCAAATGTCCTGGGGAGCAGAGAAATATGTTAGTTTACTATTTATACAAATCATGCACCTGTTCATTTCTAAGCAAAAAGCCAAATTAAAGAGTATTGTAGTGTCTGTCAATCCCAGCGTTTACTAATGTATTGCAGTAACAGTGAAGAGTGTACTCCTTCCTGTTCTTGGGACCTACCTCTTAACAGTGTCATGCTCATTCTATGAATGAGAGGGTGGGAGGTACCTCTTCTCCCTCCCCATTTCAGTTACAAGCTATTGCAAGGCAATGTCTTCTGCCAGTATACTTTCAGTACTCAATTACTAAAGGGATATTGTCAGATATATCTACTTTATAGATGTTACCTTGTGTCAGTAAGTCTTCTGAAACCACTGCTGACTCGTAGGGTTTGCCATTTAGTATGTCATACACCTAAGAGAATACATTAAAGTCAGTATTTAGCAGAAACTTCCTTAGTGTCCATTATCTCAACAAGTTTCAGTAATATTGTATAAAGCCCTAATTCCATCTGTAAATGGGCATTTTTTTTCTGTCCCAGATCAGTATGACTAAAGATACTGTAGAAGACCTGTGCAAAGCTTGAGGGAGAAATCTTGAGAAGTTAATCTCCCCTGCTCTTTAGCTATTTCATCTGGCAACTGTTTTCAAGATACAGAGGAAGTCTTTGTGGAGTAAGTAAGGGCAGTAGCAGTGGCTAAGTGAGAAGTTATTGCCTGCCTGCAAGTAGTCCTTTAAAACAAAGCCTGGGTTAGATCTTCACCTAAGGCTGGTACCATGCCCCAGGTCCCTGTGCTTAAGAGATGCTGACTGCTGGTACCTTACACTCACACCAAACCAAGTGCACGTAATCAGCTACTAAAGCAGGGACCATGCAGCCTAATCACTGGGCAGGACACCAGAGTGCATTTCCCCTACACACAAAGTCTGCAGTTCTGAAGAACATGTAGCACAGAAACCCAAGTATGGGCGTTCGAACCCAAGCTGCCCAACCAGCTAAATACTTTTCCATATTGAAGACCATAGTGCAACTATTTCAAGAAGTGCCAGGTCATTCCTGTTCCATAGAAGTAGTACGTTAAGTGGAACTTTCTTCTGATGCTGTTTTATGGGGGTGGTGGTGGGTGGGTTTTGGGATGAATTAGTTTAATTTTTGATGGCAAATTAGTAGCTTGTCACCACTGAAACAGCTGTGAATACAGTGAAAGGAGTTGTCTGAGACCACTGAACTGTCATTTATTATTAAAACCCCAGACCATATACCTCACAGTTGGCTGCCATATCCAATGGTGTTGTTCCAGGCACAATCCCTTCATCGTCATCTTCATCATCTTTCACATCATCTAGATCAAACAATGGCTCAAAGTTCTCAACGTGCGGATTTGCACCTGGAAAACAAGTGTGCAAATAAACTCCTAAGAAAAGGCTTCAAGTTGCTTTCCAACAATATTTAAAATACATATTCTAAGTTATGAATGGCAGATCTGTTAATTTAGCTATGCAAGCTAAATTACATTTTCTATTAAATCAGCAAATAGCTTTTTTATCAACTGAAGTTAAATGCTGTCACATCTCTGTATAATGCTACTCTTCATTTATAAAGAGGGAAAAAATGACAGGCAGAGTGTCAGGGCCCAAAGAGCAAGCTGTGATTCTATCAGCTGACTTCCAGTCCCATTCTTGGCTCAGAGCATAGCATGCATGTGAGGAAACAATGGTGTGTTTTTTCTTTTTGTAGTGTCAGAGAAAGTGTGGGTATTACTAAAAGACCAATCACACAGCCAGAGCAATGGGAGGCTTGGATTTCTCTTTCAAAGAAGAAAAATCAGGTCTAAATACAATTGCAAAAATGTTCAATAAATATTCAAAACTAACTCTTCCACAGTGATATGAAATAAGGGACACTAACAAGCTCATGTTTCAGTGATCTATTTGTTTTGTTTCAAAAGCAGTCCAACACTTATCCCAGCTATGTAACGAGGTCTTTTCTCTGCTTCTTCAGCTAGAAAACTGCCAAAGAAACTCTCAAAAAACCTCTGAGAGTGCTCGAACTTTCCTTGACTAACACAATTTGCTTCTTTTAGCCATTAGATGGTGCTAAAGAGTAGTACAGCACCTGGAAGTAGGGCTTTCCTGAGGAAAAACCAATCTTCATGCTTTTAACATTCAATTTCTTCTGCTCATTAAATAAGTTCACTAGCACATTCTTTTCAGCTTGCAGCCTTCTAACCTGAATCGTCACAGTGAAAGAAAATTCTCCAGCCTATTTTCATACCTGCTGCTTTGAGCACTGCTGCCAATTTTGCAGAGCCCCTTCCAGCTGCTATGTGAAGAGGAGTCGTCCCATCATACGTAGTGCTGTCCACATCTGCGTCACCCTACGTTTTTATTGAATGACAAAAAGAAAAGTGCTACTGTACAAGTGTCTATACAACACAGCTGCAGAGACTCGCGTCTGCACAAACACTGCTACTGTGCTGATAAGCACCTTTCCACGCCTGTTTGCATAAAAACTCTAATCGTTGTCTGAAAAGAAGGAAGCTTCAACTGCCTGCCTGCAGGAACGGATGGTGGATGCATGCTCCAGCGTGACAGCAGGAGGCACAGCATATAAACCCAAATAGGTCAGGCAGATAAAAGCCACTTTGCACCACATGCAATAGTTCTGCCATCTGATTACATGCAGCGTTTGGAGCCTGAACCAGTGCGTGCAGAAATCTGCCTCCCTGCTGCTGGGCAGGAGAGCAGGTAGGCTGGTGGCACCCTCGTACGCGGATACCGAGGAAAGCTACTGCAGGCACCTGTGGGTGTGTAGAACTAAGCACACTGGGATCAAGGTGTTAAAGAGGGGAGACAAATATTTATAGATATACACAACTATCTCTCTGTGCACATCTGTAGATACATTCCACTTCATGCAGATGAAGTGATTAACTCGTTCATGAGTAGTTTCATTGGCTGCCGGGGTTACTCGGTGATAATTAAAGATGGCATATGCGGTCAGGTCAGGGTCACAAACTGTAAATTCCTCAACCTGGGCAAAAGGTTCCCTAGTAGTGCTGAACAAGCAATAATGAATAACAGCAATGATTTTTCCATTAAACCAATTTAAGTAATCAAGTCAATAAACAGGAAAAAGCCCGCCCTTATGCTCCTCTGAAGCACTAAAGGATTTTCGAGAGTTTTAAAGTAAGTGAAAAGACCTGGAAGAAAGAGATTCTGCCTTTACCTCAAGCAGAAGGCAGCCTGCCAAAGGGATGTTCTCTTGCTCAACAGCTAAATGCAATGCAGTTCGTCCAGATTTTTGTTCCTGAGCATTGACGTTAACTCCAGCAGCAATCAGCTGTTTGAGGCAGGACATGCTATTTGCTATCACCACCATGTGAATTGCACTGAGACCTACACAAAACAAAACCCATTCATCATGTGCATTAATATTGAAAAAGACAGAAATGTAAGAGTAATGAGTTTTGAAGTGGCTGCATCTATGAGAATTGCAAAATGAGAGTTACTGTAGTTATCTGAGCAGAAGTAACTTATTTTGCCTGCTTATACACTAGAAGATGGTTTTAATAAAAGTGTTCTTTGTGCATAAATTGGAACTAGTTGTGTTACTGATGGCAAGTCAAAGCCATGCCAAAAAAAACCCAAACCAAACAAACCCCAAACCAAAACAAACAATAAAACCCCAGTAGATTACGAGGTGGAACAGAAGGCAGGAACTAAAGAGCATCTCTTTGCCTCAAAGGAGAGTAGCCTTAAAAAGAAAATTTGCATCTCGATACTGAACGAGTAGGTACCCTGCACTGGCCCCATTTGCTACTGAACATCTCTTCTAGAAACAGTCTGGAGAATAATTGGTATATTTTGGTATTATCCTCCCGTAAGGTCACACTGCCCCTATCACCTCAAGATTACCTGCATCAGCTCAGAATAATAAAGACTCGTATTTAAAGAACAAACAAAACAAAACCCAACCCCAAACCAACTAAACAAGACCCCCCTTCTTTCTCTGAGGAAGTTAACACAGTTTTTTGAATCCCAGAATGACATTTTTAGGTCAGACATTTTAGAATCTGTTAGAGAGGAGTACTAAATTCAAATGACATGTGCCATTGGAAAACGGGAAAATTGTGTCTTTGTGGTTATTTTATAGGTTCTAATTCTGTATGGTCACGAAGTACCAGATATGAAACTCGACAGTGGTCCAGAAGTTATTTCTAGGGGATTTCATTCACTAGAGAGGAGGAGAAAAGATTTTCTTCTGGGGGGATTTAAAAAAAAAAAAAAATCAGTGGTTGCATAAGGTATCTCAGGAGGAACTCAGTGCTTGAAGTTTTGAGATTAAAGAGAATGTACAGTAAGAAAAATTCAAATCCATGCAGTGTCATGTGGCTTTTTACCACTATGTTCTGTATAACCAGAAAAACTACATGTCTGTGTTCTCTCATCTGTGAGTGCAGGAATATAAAAGCCAAGGACAGCATATGCAAAATAGGGAAAGATGCTATTTCCAAGGTCTGTATCTACCTGTGCAGAAAGACTGTGTGGGCAGAACTGAGGTGTGCTTGTCCAGCAGGTAAATGTAAAATAGAGCCATTATCTTTACATACCTTCACCATTGGAAAGGTTGACCATTGGCGTTATCTTCTTATGCTTGAGGAGTAGACTCAAAATCTTGTCATCTCCTTCAGTAGCAGCTAAATGTAAGACAGAATTACCATGGCGATCCAGAAGGCTGACATCTGCTCCAGCCTTCAGCAAGTCTTCTACCACCTCTTCCTGCTTTGTGATTACTGCCAGGTGCAAGGGGGTCTAGAAGTGACAGAAGCAAGCCATGAAAAGATAAGCAACAGCTACATCACTTTTACAGAAGTCTCTTAAACCCATAAAAGCTTCTAGTGTGAGATGATGTTACTCTAAAGCTAAGAGAAATTAAAAGCTTGCTTATGTGTACATTTTTTTTTTACTGCAAAGTTTCTACTTACTGAAAATAAAAGCTGCCTTGTGAGCATCAGCAGTTGGACTTTGGGAGGAACGAAGATGCTGCCTTCTCTGTAAGCCAGGGCACTGACCTGACTATTTGAGCCTTGCGGGTGGAAGGGGCTGAGGAAATGAGATAATCCCTGTGCCCCCCAGACAGTGCAACCCTGCTTCCAGCTGCCCCATGGCCATGTCCATGCCACAGAGGCAGCACATGCACTTCCCAGGGGCTGCTCACATCTGCCTTTGGCACTGACCAATGCTCTAGTTTTGCTCCTGAATAGGAAGTCTGCAACCACTGGCCTGGGATTTTTCCTTATGCCTCAAAATGAGTGCACAGAAAAGAAGAAAATCCTGCTGTTCCGTGCATTTGTTAAAGCACAGAACGACTGCATTCACACAGGGCGTGTCTAGCTAGCTGATTCTCTTTGCATGTTCTCTGTTTCTGTGCAGAGACACCAGCAGCACGAGAGGCTTTCAAGTATTTCCAAAGGTTCATTGTATACTGCATTCTTGACAGTCTTGCCAGTGAACAGCAGCATGTAGAACATACTGAGAAACGCAAGTATTTAAACTAAGCATTTCAGTATGGTTTAGGTAATCACATTTCCAACACTAAAATAATTGAAAAATTGCACAGAATTCCATCTCCCTATCATTACCCTTATATTAACAGCAGACTACAAAAAAGGACTAATTCTAGCTCTGTACAATAAGCTTGTGTTTGTCAATAGATTTGTCAACATATTTGCAATTTATTACTGAAGCTATAAAGGTACATGTACGATTCAACATTCGGTATATCCGTACAGAAGGAAAATTCTAGCCCAAGCCTACATTCCCTCCCACCACTGGCTTGAGTTTTAAGTAGAAGGTAGGAATAGCTGTAGAGGTCCTGGCATTTAAGAGATTAATTTCTTGTGTGGAACACAGCTTTTCTTCCTGTTTTTGGAAAACAGAGGGCATAGAATTAAATTCAGAATCCTCTGCTTGCTTTCATCAGCCCCCACATTTCAAATTGCTTTGTATCAATGTAAAAATGAAATGCAAAAGAGAACAAAAAAAAAAAAAAGTCAAAATAAACTCTCTGGGACTATCTGGTAGAATAAAAACCTGCCTCTACTGTTCACAGCAAAAGAAATGACACAAATGTCAGAGTGCTCCTGCGTAACATCCAGCTGGTTACCTTTGGGACAGCTGAACGGGGTGCACAGCTGAAGAGGTTATTCTCCAGGCAGGTTTCCGCAGCTCTTTTTAAAGCCTGAGTTACAATACAAATAGCTCAGACTCTGTCACAAATGAAGCTGAGGCAGTGCCTGACAGTTAAGAGTTCTTATCCTACTAAGGTAAAAAACCTGGGGATGGGCTTTTCTGTGTTTTGCTATAATGTGAATCTAGAAATGAAAGGGAAAATCTTGGTGCTCATGTGATGGGCACAAATATCATCTGAGCTGTAAGAAGGACACAGTTTGTTACAGCTTCCACATGCCTGTAGATAACTGATGATGCAGCAACTGACTCATGATCCTGAGTTAACCTATGTTACAACAGTCAAGAGGTCCCAGCGCTGGCACACTGTAATCCACGTCACTGGTTTAATAACAGAGAAGCCAAATAATGAAGACATGAACTGAAGAATTTTGTATTTTTGGCCTGCTCTGTGATTAATCCATGGAGACGTTTCTGTTAACATCAAGGGGAATGATGAACTAAAACAGTGAAAACACGCTCCTGCTCCTCCACCACTTTACAGTATGTCATTGTGGTTTTGCATTACAGTCTGATCTGGGGTCATTCCAACGCAGAAAAATAAGACAGACGTAAAGTTGTGCAGTTTCTTTTTTACTGGTTGAACAATCAACAACACTTACACCACCACAACTGCGCACCTGATAAAGGTCGTTTCTCATGTTAATGATGTCATTATAATTCAAATTAGGTATCACTTCCAAGAGGTTTTTCACCAGCTCAGTATGAAGGTGGATAATTGCTAAATGAAGGACACTGAAACAAATAAAAAAACAGATGAACAAATTCACACTATTTTCAAGTTTATTATAAAAATTCTAAAGTTTTGCTGTAGATCTGACTGAATTCTGATATGAACAGTTGATTATTAGAGATCATGATTTCAGCACTAAATATCAGCACCTAAAACGAATCCCAACATTAAAAAAAGCTAGCCAGAAGTTAACTGTGTTTAACCTTTCAATTACAAAAGCAGACTCAGGATGGCTTTTGCTGGTTCTGAGCATAACTTAACTATTAGTCTAATAAATACAAACTTTATAGCACAAAATAGTTGTTTCAGAATTTGTTGAAATCCCCAGATTCTTTGCTGTTTTGTTTTTTTCATGTTTTGAATTATGCAGCACATGAACACCTCTTACTGTCAAAACTTTCCTTCAGAATTTCCACAGGCCTTTCTGCCACCAAAGCATATTTTCCCTTGGGGGTTTCCCCAGACCTGTGGGTTTTTCTTCATTTTCAAACAGAAAAATGACTAAGGACCCAGGTCTGGTGACTTAACAGCCACAGAACTTGCAGCAGTTGCCAGAGACATCATGCCAAAGGAAAAACTTGGTTTGGGACATGAGTGACTCTGCATAGCAAGATGCTTTGCCACTTCTACTGGGTTAATGCAGCGGCCTTTCCTGTGCTCTTCTCCAGAGACAGCTCCTTCATCACCAGCCACAGCAGCTGTACTTAAAAATGACACCAGGAAAAAAGCAGGTTGTGAATCCCATCACCCCTCTCCAACAGAGCTTGATTTGTCTTGTTCCCTGTAGACTTCGTTTCAAAGTCATGCCCTTTATGCTGGACAACTTCTAGGCTCATCTTTTCAGCATATTGCTGCTGACACAGAATATCATCATAGGACAGGTGGTGTGTTTGTTATGCTTCTCCAGAAATAAGCGAATAAACTCAGATCTACACTTTCATCAGAAAAATAAAAAGAAGTTCCTTGACATTTGGGGTGTAGAGTCATCTTGAAATTGAGACTGAAAGCACTCAAACCGTAAGATAATTTTAAAAGATTAAAAAAAAAAATATTTCTAAACCAAACTCAGCCTCAAAGGGTCTGTTTTATTGGTTCTGGATGCTGCTACAGGCATGGCACTTTACCTCCTTCAACTCTCCTGTGCTGTTCAAAGAGCTGTTCCTGTGCTCTCTTGGTACATGCTTCTCATTATGCTGTGTCATGCTGACATTTATTTCCAAATCTCACTTCAGAACCAAATTTGCTCTTCTACTGCCTTTAGTTCTCTTTCCTGTAGCAAGTATTTTAATTTTACCCTGCCACTACATGTGATGCTGTAAAGACATGCTGACTAGACCATGAAATTCCATTTCTTAAATAGTTCTACATCCAAAAAATGCATTTCAGCACAACTGTGGAGGCAGAGCACCATAACACCATCAGGCTTCTAGAGAGTGGTGGTACTGGTATAAATGCAGTGACAGCTGGAGCTACTGAGTGCCCACTGTAAAGATACACTAATCACAAATTAGTGTATTTTGTCTCAAAGCCATAAAGCAAAACATAGGATCCCATGAAAGGTATTTTCATTCCCTACATACTACTTTGATGAAAGATGAGCAAAATTGTTGACAGCAACACTTCTTCAGGCTTAAGCAATTTTTAAAATTTATTTTTGCCATATAATTTTAATTATTACAGTGGAAATTAGGGAAATTGATTTATGAGTTTTGAAGTTTTTTGGTTTTTTTAACAGCTCCTGTGAGAGAGCTGGAAGACAGACACCAAAACTTTGTTAAAAAGCTGCAGAGTAATTTAGATGTATTACATGCTCACAGACTAAATTCCATCCCAGGAAAAAGGTGACATGAGCTTGAGCTGCACATACTTGCAGGTACTTCTTGATCCAGAAAGAAAACAACTGTCTACCATCATTCTGAAAGGCATTTTTGACTTTGCTGAATTGCCCTGAAAGTCCAAATATGAGGGGCACCTTATTGATATTTAAATGCAGGTCCTACTTGCTCAATACTCCTCTACCCACTGCTGCCTTTTTTTTTTACAACACAGAAGCTGTATTGTCCGAAGTGCTAGCAGATTTTGTTGTTTGCATTCCTGCTTCCCTCAAAGCAGACATCAGGTTGCCAACTGGAAAGCAAAGGAAGTAAAGTAGCTATCTCTGATTCTGGAGTCCTTAGTGTATGCTGTTTATCAGTAATCTGAGGCCTGTTTTTACTGAACGTAGTGAAGGTAGTAGCCTCTCACAGAGTAATCGAACAGTGGGATAGCATGTCTCAGTCCCTTGTAATTTTCCATCTAGCCAAACACATTAAGGCCTTTATAGCTTCTACTGTACAAAACCCTGCAATTTAAGGAAATGTAAGTGATTGCACAGGGCCTGCCCAAAGCCTGTCAGCTAAAAAGTGAGGATGTGATAACGTCCCTTGCTTATTCAAGAGATTATCTTTGCATGCATTCAGAGCCACTTCTGCTGAATTTGCTTTTAAATAACTACTCCTCATTAGTTCCTCACTGTATTTCACACTCATAAATCCCACATAATCTGCATTGCTGCAGAGGAACAAAATGGATTTGTATTCCAGCTCACATTATTGAAGGACTGATAAGCAAATACTAGCAAGTCTGCCACAAACATCCATGCAGTGTCTTGGAAAGCAACAGCACAGTACGGATGTAAGCAAAAGCAAAATACTATCCTCTGGGAAGAACTTGGCGTCAGTGGGAGAAAAGCAGCTATTATTTCTACATTTCCCAGTGCATCTGTAACTTAAAGCTTCCTATGAAGACTCAGGGACTTGCATAGAATGAAAAGCAGGCACTCTCCTCCAGCACAAAGCTGAGGATCTCCATCAACTGTGTATCATGATGCAAGCACAGCACTTCATGGTCAGTCAAGAATTTAAGTAAAGAAAGTCAACAAGCTCATCATACACTCTATAACAGTATTATTTTCTGACCAGTACTGGATCAATGAACTTTGTGGTGTGAATGACTTTTCTGCAAATGCAACAAAAATGTCTAAACCACAGCTGTACATCTCCCAAACAAAACAAAGGAGAACAGTATTTATTTCATTAAAGCAGTGCTGCAATCCATGATCTGCACCTGCAGGGGACTGCGGCATTCCGCCATCAAAAACATGACTTTCAACCCAGTAAGTACAGAACAACTTACTTGTCTCCATTATCATCCTGGACAGCAGTGAGATGGCGCTGAACAGCCAACAGCATCTTCACATCTCCAGTTACAGCGTAGTCAAAGAGAGCATTGCAGTGATGCTTGGCAAGCTGCATGGCCTTCTCCAGGAACAGACCATCTGCAACACAGAGTTTTGTCTTCATCAGTTCAGCTGTCTTCCTTGCAAGACCACCTTCTTTTGACAGGCATCTGTGCTGCCAAAGAAATACGATGTGCAGACCACCAAGCATTATTTACTGATTCACTGAGACAGGTTGCTAATTACTCCTGAGAGGTAAGGATAAAGGGAACGGGTCCCTTGGAAGAAAAACCTGATGCATGCTGAGCATTCAGGCAGCAGGAATCCTGAGAACAGTCAAATTCTGGAAGCTCCCTTTAGTTTGAGTGGTACTGAATTAATTGTACTGATGTGCACTTCTGTGTAATGAGACAAAAGGAGCAGGAACTTGGATTTGCTTAGATACAAGCAACATCTAAGGACTCGTATCCATAAAGAGCACTTAAAAGAATGGCCCATGCAATTCTGAGTAGTTTAGACTTGAAGAAACCGAGGCACAAGAAGCCTGAGGAAACTGAGGCTCAAGAAGCCCAAGTGACCTGTCAAATATTGCACAGAAACTCAGAGAACAGATATGGAATTACTGCAGGGCTTTGTGCACCCTCTCTGACTCAAACCATGCAGTCTCTTCTGCTTTACAACAGCAGCGCAGAGAGTCTGTTCACCTGATTAAAACATTCTAGCTTACCATGCTTAGTATTTGTAGTATCCTTATCTTAGATTTATAAAATGTACAACCACTGAGCAAAAAGCAGAATTTGTCATGGTGGGGAGGCAAAAAGGAGAAAGGGGAGAAAAGAAACTAATTTGTGGAAAAAAAGTCACTGTAGCTTCTCCATCAATACCTTTGTGGTTCTGTATAAGAAACTAACAAAAATGAAACAGCTGAACTTTCAAACCACACTTGTCATTCTGGGAAGCAGTATCATCTGAAACCAGCCTGTATTCTGACAGTTTCATGTTTCTATAAAACCTTGTAAAGTTGGCAATACTAAGAGCAAACCAATAAACCAGACTTTGTCATTTAAAGTAAACGTACGGAGAGAATACGCAGGATTTCCATCTATACAAAACCAGGCATTCAGACTGGGTCAGAAGGGTATTCCTGATGAACAGGAATACATAATTTCTGTAAGCGAAAGACCTACTCAACGATCCACAAAGTTTATTGTTCTATCCAATATCTCACTGTAGTTCCTGTACCATATGCCCAGGCCGATACATCGATATTTGCTATTCACCTCTTATCGCTAAATAATAGCCTTAAACAGATGTTATGTTCAGGATACGTATCCAGGGTAAAAAGTGTTCAGCAACTCAGTCTCTTCTCGTTACAGAGATTTCCAAAGACCAAAAACCTGGATGCTAGAACTCTCTGGTTTCCTGTATCAAGCACACAAAAAAGATACCCTTCAAAATACTATAAGACCGCATATTTTAGTCTAATACGCAAATGTTCTAAACCTACAGTAGCTATTTCATAGTGTCTGTTGTTCTGCATCTATTCTTCATATAATCCGGATCTTCAGATTGCCTCTCCTCATGCCATTACAACTGATAAACAGTCAACTTCCTGCCTACAATGTTCACTACTCAGAAACCAGGTCAATAATTCAGGCCCCTCCTTTGTGACTGCTCCATGGACATTATTATTTCTTCAGATACCAGCAAAAGATTTTGCTCTCTGAATCAGTCACGGGATTTATCACAACCTTGCAAACAAGTTCTTCAGATTTTCTCAGGAGCAGCGTCTGTTTCTCAGATCACAAGAAGCTATACACCTTGGAGGTTTTTACAACTACAACCCACATGCTACGTGGCTTTGGTTTCCCAAGCCACAGTTTCTAGGGCTGTTAATAGCAAGTGTCACACAGGGCTGATACACACAAGATAATGTGCCCTCTTCCCTGACCAAGAGGGAACAACGGAAGTGGTCTAGATCACACTGCATTTGGTAGAAGCCAAGAACAAAGAATTCCCTTCCCTCCTGTTCAATTCCTACCACTACCCTGCCTCTCTAGTCCAACAGCTGCTTTTAATTTTATGAGAAGCATGACTACTCAAATACTTTAAAAAAGTGGCCATCAACTCTTTTAAAAAACAATCCAAGAAAAGGAAGTCTTACCGTCTGGGAAAGGGTGATCTGTAGTCTTCATGTATTCTACAACTCCACCACTAAACCATTTCTACTGACTACTCTTGCCTTCCTCCTGTTTTGTTTGATGTATAAGACTTTGCTACCCAACAGTGTTGTTTTACCGTGTATGTGTCACATATGTTTACATTTTAAGTTCAAACCCGTAACATTACTTTGCATCCAATTTAACAGTAGAATTACAGGAAAGAACTACTGCAACAATCACAGCAATCCAGAAAAGCCAAGTCAACTGCTGAATTGCATTCCACGTGCCTTCACTGCTTTCACTGTTTCTCATACAGGTTTATTATAAAGCAGAGCTACGTGTGCTCAGTGGGTTTGAGCTATCTCTTCTTGCATGACAAGCAGAAGCTCAGTTGCTCAGCGGCAGTACAAAAGTGGAAGATTACCTACAGAGAGAGATTCGGGGGAAATGGAATTCCTCCCGTTTCCTCCAGGAGGCATCATCATATTTTGAAAACCCAAGCTGACATTTATGGAGCCTCCAGGCCTTTAACAGCCACTTTGCCCATACTGCAGTTTGATCTGCCCTAAATGCATTTACTTGTTCACTTACCCTGCCACCTGCAATCTGCTTCAGTTACTTCAGTTTTACAGGAAGAAACATCCTCCTTCTCATCACCAGAGGTTCTGCACTCATTCTTCTCCAGAGTTTCCACTTCCACGTTGTGTTTCACATCCCGTTTGTCACTCTGTTTATCAGAGCTCTTCCCATCTTGTTCAGCTGTGCTATTTGATAGTCCTTCAAACAAAAATTAGTATCATTAGTGTCCAATACTGCTGCTTTTTTATGCAAGTGATAAAGCTCAACTAGCCAAAACCAAACTCTAAAGAACTCAAACCAGAAATTTACATATAGGTGTCATCATTAAACACTCATGAATCATAACACTCCAGATGCCAACACACATGGACAGTCATAGCAATGTAACTTGCTCTAAAGTGATGTTATGTTTTTGACAGCCTCTGCTTTAAGGATAAACTGTTATATAAAACAACAGATATACCTCTCTTTTTGTGGTACAAGAACACAAGTATGAAGTATTCCCAGGAAATCTAGTAGAATAATTCAGATTTACTTCCATTTTTCTGACAGCAAATCCATCCCTGAGACTTTGGAAATAACTACAGAATATTCAACATGTAGATTTTAAATTACTTCCCTGTTTTAGGAAGCCAGGAAAGCCCTTATTATTAATTCAATCTTTTCCATTGACTTTTATGTTATTTCTCTGGGCTAGTGTGTAGTACCAGACTGTGGCAACAAAGGAAGACACCTTTTCTCTGGTCTAGTCCTTCGGTCACCTGTAATCAGTATGTTCAAGCAAGCAAAAGGGCTGTTGCTTGAAACATACATTGAACATAGAAGGCATATGGAGGCATTTTGGTGACTGCTTCTTTGGAGTTAGCAGTAAAAAAACATATGCACACAGCTTTAATTCTCTCCCAGTATACCTTAAAAAAGAAGCAGGGCAGTAACCTACACAAACCCCTCTGCTGCCAGAGGCTCTAAAAAGAGACCAATTCTAATGAAACAAAACCCAACAACCAAACCCTCCCCAGCACACTTGCTAGACCTGCATGACACTTCAAACTGATAGCTTAAAGAAAATAAAGATGGTCAAACAATTCATCTGTTGCAAGGGCAACATTTTTACTGTTACCATGTTTCATTCCAGCATTGGACTTTGTTGTGCCAGGGTGGAAATGCATCCCTCCAAAAGCAGAGTATCCATATGAAGGGTAACTGAACCCTAAAGAAAGGAAAAAGATTAAAAATTACACCCTAAAGCAACCAAAACACCATCTAGAAGAACACTGAACCTAAAGAACTGAAATTTTGTATCCTACATACCTTCTGCTATATTCCATCCTACTAAAAAAAAATTACCAAACTGAAGGTGAACTGTCCCCCATGCCCTCAAAAATCCAAAGAAATTCTAGATGTTTGGCTAGTTACACTCTCTATCCTACCATCCACAAGACCACACAGATGTATTATCACTAGTATGCTTCATCTAAAACTCTGCTGAGACTTCACAAGCTACCCTTCTGCTTTCAAATCTTTGTGATTACAACAAATTTGTATTCTGGTGTTATGTTATAGATACGCTGTTAGCAAAGCATGTAGCAATTTGAAAACTGCTGCTCTGTTCCCTGCTCAAAAAAAAAGGTTGCAAAGATAGTGTAGTTCAGATGACATTTGCTGATCTACAGGTTTTTAATGCTCTGCTGCAAGAATCAAAGCAATGCTCTTATGATCCTGCATGTCAAATATGCTCTGGCTTCAACAGATAGAGCACAGCAGAAAACTCAAATTTTTTAATAGTTCTTTGCACTAACAGGGTTAATTTAACAAATTACACTCCTGGTCCCAGAAATAATTAAGAACCTGTTTAATTTTAAGCATCAAAGATGGTACTTAGTTGAGCTGTCCCATGAATTACAGTGCCTTCAAGGTCCTAGGAAGCAACAAGGCTAAGGTATGATGGATTCCTGACTCAGACTCCCTCAACTGGAACGGTGTTATCTGTTACTTAGAGCTTCAAGGATGACAAGAAGCCTTATATCCAAGCAGGAAAGCAAATGAACTTTTGAAATATTTAGAAAACAAGGAGATGCTTAACTGAAATGAGTGTAACACTGGTACAAAGACAGGAGAGTCAGGTCTCATCTACCTAGACAACGATGAAATCCTCAGCACTTTTTAAAAATCAGAATAAACATCTGTCCTGCTCTCAAAGTAGAACCTCCTCCCCTCTTCACCCAAAACTGCTGCCTTACCTGAGCCAGGACCGCCACCTCCCCCTCCATACATGCCACCACCTCCTGTGCCACTGCCTCCACCATAGCCATCAGAGAAGTTTGGCATGAGCTTCTGTCGCTTCCTTTGCACTTCTTCTTTGTCTAGGTTAGAAGGAATAGGCAAGGAATCACTTTTACTAGTGGCCACACACAGAACAGGATGTCTATACAGAAACCATTACTAAAGTTTATTAGTTTATAAAGGAAAATGCAGAGTACTATAGAAGAGTCAACACTCTTCCAGCTCCAAACAACAGAACAACTTTGTATGTAATGGAGCAATTAGAATCCCTGTGAGAAACAATCTAGTGCCAAGTCCCCAGCCAGACCATCAGCATTGCTCAGGCTTGCATGGTCTTTTCAGTTATGTCAGGTGCATTCTGCTCACACCAGAATAAAGATTGCTTATTTCCAGGCAGGACATAATACTGTCAAACCATGCTGAGCCACGGTAGGGAAAAAAAAAAAAAAAAGGTGCAAGTACAAAATAATACTTAGTTGCCCTGAAAAGCAAAACACAAATATTTAAAGAAGTATCCCAGTGACTGGGGAAAGTGAAAATTTCATGATAAGAGATACAAAAATAGGGATACAAACATTATAGAGGTTAAAATCCAGTAGAACTGCTGAGGTAAGAACAAAATATCCTTCGTTTATTAAACAATCTAGTAGTTTTCAACAGCCATATAACAAGAAGAAATTTCATGCACAGGCACATCAGTCAGTGCATCAAATGAGATAGCTGAATACATGAAACAGTACACTGAAAAGTACAAGTGCATTATTTCCAGGCATACATGATCTGTAAGTATGTATGCATGCACACACCAGGCATACTCACACTGACGAGGAGAGAAAACTCTAGAGAGCAATCTAGTCAGAGAAACAAACAAAAAATCCATATACACGTGTCTAAGTTTGTGTGAACACTTGCAACAAGGGGAAAAAAAAACAGTCCCTAAAGGGTAATTTCATGATTTGGTTGTGTAGGGTATTCAAAAATGCACATAATGGAGTAAAATTAATTCAACATTGTTAAGAGGCATGTAAAAGAGGTTTGCTTTAAATCTGGTAACTTTGTTCTGCAATTGTATGCCTCACTACCAGAAAACTTGTGCAAAAGACTCCTGAAATCATTACTGATACAAAAATCCCACAACAACTCTGGAAGTTTTTTTTAATGCACGCTTTCTGCTATTTTATTATAACAGACATAAAGTAGATTCACTTAGACATCAACTACCACCCCTCTCTCCTTAGCTGTCCTTAGTCCATTACAATGGCACACATATTTTAGAGAGTTTGAGAGGGTGTTGATTTCAACACAGCTCTGAAAGTTCAGCACTAGGCAGGTAAAACCGTTAAGCAGAAGGCTTATTGTCTTAGTACAATGAAACACCAATTCTGACTTGGGTCTCAATGCATTTCTGTATCATTAACATTATTGATATTCAAATCCATGACTGCTGCTGCTATTCACATCAAATATTTCAAAAGTAGACTTTAAAGGGCACAGATCTGCTAATTAAACTTTTCACTAACAACTTAGGAAGCTGGTCTGATGCCAGCTATTCTATTTCTGCTAAGTGACTAACATTTTAATACAAGAGATTGAAACATCACTTTCCCTGCTCTCACAAAAAGTGCCTTGGGCTTATGTGACTAGTACAGGCAATCAGAAAATTCAAAAACATCGGTGAAACTCTTAGGCATGATGGTAAAAGGAAAAGAACTGCAAAATACGTACCTTTTCCGCCAGATACCAACCAGTCTTTGGTTTAAGGTTTCAAATGAAAGTACTGACAGTAACATGTCCTCAGATATTATTTTGCAGAAACTCAGAGAAGAGAGTGCCATCTGCTGTATGGACAGGCATGCGTGCATATAGGAAACTTCCAGGGAGTAAGTCTCACTAGGAAAAGACTTGATTTACTGCCTACCAGTCCAACAAAAAACGTACAAACCCATTATAGAGCTACCACTTTTCATATTAGCTCTGCACAAAACAAGAAGGGAAATATCCTATTTTCTAAAAGTAACAAATACAAAAGAAAAATCCCTCATCCAAAAAATTCTATCTTACTAAAAGCATTCCTAGGGACTCCGCAGTTTCTGCTTCCAATATATAAAACATTTAATAAGTTACCTTTGATTTCCGGATAGTAGAGAAAAGGCTTTGGTTCGCTTGTTTCCAGATCAGATTTCCTACGCAGCTGTACAAATACAGATGCTGGCTTTGTAATATTGACATCTCGATACTTGGGTGTTTTGAAAACAATAGCAAACTGTGAAGGAAACAATGATAAGCACATCTATCATGGAGCATGGGGTTTGATAACTTTGCTTTTACATTTGTGTTAATTTTGTAGGAATTGGTTCACAGCTTAGGAGGTAAAAATTTTTAGCAAAAGGCTGCTACAACAATTAACTTCCATTTTAGTTTCCAGTTGCACTTTTGAGTTTGAGTCCTAAAGCCTTTTGGGAAAGACAGAACTACCATGTAAAGTATCACCACATCACTTATGTTAGTACTGCATTGTCTGTCCCCTCATCATTTAGCACCTGTATTCTGTGGCTTTCTCAGTGTGTTCACAGGAGCTCTAAGAGCTTTTTATATATCCTATCCCAACTTACACTGCTGCATGTTAAAGCAATGGGTCTGTTTTCCAGTTTCCTCGCACTGTATTCCTAACCTGCCTAGTTACCTAATGTATGTCTTTAAAGAACAATTAAGATTGTAGTATTATTAGGCAGTAATCAACAAAAGACAAGGTTAGTACATAATACAGATGCTTTCACCTAATTTATTAATGATAATATAATCCTAATATAATAATATCATCCTCCCAGAGATGAGAAAATCATTTACAAATGACAAATGCTCTGTTACTTACCTGTCTATGTACATCTGTAGGAGAAAAGTCTCCAAAGCCTTCCCACATACCTCCATTCTCGTCCTCTTCATAGAAACGTATTTGAATATCATCTGCAAAGAGTGAAAGAAACACTTTTTGGGATGTTTGTGCATTTATTTAACCTTTGGGATGTTTGTGCGTTTGTTTAACCTTTGGCTAAGTTTATTTCGGATAAAAGTCAACATGGTTACATTTGGGCTGGATGATAATATTACAGGAATACTACATGAATTATCTTTATCCATTTTACGAAATCATCTAAATAACCGATTTGTTACATCAATTTTAGATCAGCCTAATTCTAATGACTTCACTGAAACTGCTCTCTATTTACTGAGCAATAAAAGGAGAACTAGGTTCACTACCTCTTCCTATTCTAGGGCGATAAAACATTCCAGAGGAGCTTTATTTGGAACACACACATAGGGAGGGGAGAACTTGAAGCGTGAAATGTAGAAACCACCCTCTCTCCTCCAATAGTTTCAGTTCAAAAAACTGTAGCAAAACCTGAAGTGCCACAGTTCAAGTTCCGCTTGCTGCTGGCAGAGTGCCACTTTGAAGCTGCAGCTCAGAGATGGCAAGGGTGTGAGCAAGAAGCATGTCAACAGTGATCCCTCAGCCCCCAAACACATAACAGGGCCAGAAACAAGAGATTTGGCTTCTGCTTCCCTAAACAAATTTTCTTTCGTTCTCTTTGTATTTATTTATTTGTATTTTTAGGAGAAGCTGAGAAATATCACACAAGCATATTCCTTCCCCAGCACTCCTGGTAAAAACACACTAGAAAAAGGCTATTTTCTGTTAGAGTGATTGACGCAGGACAGGCTTTTGGAGCAGACTACTTCCTCTGATCTACCACCTGCTAGTCTCAAGACTGTGAACCACCACTTCCAGGCCTGTTGTCCTGCATGCTCAAGTTCCTTCAGGCAAGAGGTTTCTGAGAGTGATGAAGTCAGGGGAAACCCCAATCTGGCTGAGGGGAAACCCCACCTCAGGGATTCCACTGAGTCAGACATTTAGTGCACAAGAGTTATGCTTCATCTCAGCCCTTCTGATAGCAGAGAGTAAGTATATACACTACTGAAGGAAAACAGTTTTTTCAAACCCCCTATAAGCCCCCAAAGCCCTCTCTCTTTCTTAAGTGGTAGAAGAATATTTGCAAGCAAGAGAGGTGGAAAAGGACAGCCTGTATTAACAGAAAATGTCAGTGTGATTTTTAACATCATGTGCAGGGACTGATTCCAAACAGGTGAGAAAGGAGCACCCACTCCACCATACAATCATACACCAGGGAGTCCCAGATATTATATATAGCTGAAAAATGCAAAGGACTTCCCTCTCTCCGCTTTTTTCTTTTTACTTCAGCCCAAATACTACAACCAACCACATTAACCATTATTATCTTCCTATCCAAAAACAAAGCATCCAAATCCACACCGTCCAATCCTGACACATTCATAACCATGAGCAGAGATTACCAAAATGAGTCTGTAAGAAGTATCTGTTTACACCGAGTAATCTCTAGCATTCGCATACACATAAAAATGAAATTACTAGCAGCAGTGCTGAACACATTCAGTTCCCTTCAATGGTTAATAGAGAATGCTCATACTTACTCTTTATAATCAGGAACTTAATCATAAATCAGAAACTTTAGACTAATTCAGAGCAGGTGTTAGTTAACAGAGTCAAACATCACCCAGCACCCACCACACACAAAAAACCCAGAACATGGGCAATGGTAGAATGTGGAGAACAAAGATGACCATACGGTCTCTGTGGAGGCAACACAAGCTAATTATGTTTTGCAACAGACTATTTTGATTTAGTTATTTTCTGGACTGCTGGCCTGACTTCCAGAAAAGCTGAGTGCTTAAGAATCCTGTTATGCTATCAGAGTGGGAGAATACTAAGGCAGCACAGTGCGCTTCATGTGTATGCCTGATGAACACCCTGGTGTGCCTTACAATACTTAGGACTCTTACCTTTCTGAACCTTGTCACAGAGAAGGTAAATCTCTTCCCCTCCTGTTACACACCCTGCTGTTCTGTCCATTCTTACGATTTTTAAGTTGGAGGCATTGGGAGCTTCTATTGAAAGGAAAGATTTAAAAACCACTTACTTTCAGAACAATTTTAGATTTCAAAACAACTCCAAGCACAACACACAAAAGTGCAACAGAAAGTCAAGACTTCAGCACAACTTACCCAAATCTGTCTATGCTTTTTAAAACATGAATAAATCAACAGTTTTTCATCTGAAAGGCATTATCTTGTATCCTCTAACCTTTGACTGAACCGTTAGCTATAAAATAAAGCCCATGCCATTCCAGCACAATTACTGCACTAATAAAGTAGATTCAGCACTCTGCACTAGCATTAACTTTATGACAAGAACACATTACAATAGAACACAATTTTTGCTTCCCTGCTTTCTTGACAGTGTAACATTCTTGAGAGCTGCTCCCTGGATCTCACTATTTCAGTGCAATGTGCAATGCTTTGCTTTACCCTCTGGCTTACTTGAAAGCAACATCAGTCCTTGGCCAACATACTGAACTGTAATAAAAAAGCCCTCCTCCACAGATCTTAATAGAGGCATCAATGGATACCTACTGGTCCCCAAGACAGAACTATCATCTGATAAGTAAAAGCAGCTGTGATAGACAGTTACACTACCACAAGCTGTCTCTGTTCTGTGGAAGACGCTTGAATGGTGTCAATGAAGAGTATCAGAAATATACCAAAACCCAAGAAAAATATTAACAACAAAGAATTCACAGTGGGAGCTCAGAAACTAGTAACTGACATCTATGTAGCAACTTAAAATGGCAGAAACATACGTACAAAATTTCCCTTTTATCTGTCTCCTTAATTGGAGTCAAAATTTTGATGGTCAGACTCAGAAGGATAAGATAACTTTGATGGTTTTTATAGGTATGGCTCAATACATACTCTACATCCGTTGATGCTTTGTCCTCCTCCTCCTCTTTGCTTTACAAATACTCTCATTATGTAGGTGTGAGATGAGTAATAAAAACAAATGGAATCTGTAATTGTTTCTAATGAAAACCAAGATTGCTTAAATACATTGCTTGGTAAATCACTTCAACCTCTAGATGAAAAGACTGTATTTTCTCATCCAGAAAACACAGGTCATGTGTACCATAAGAACAGGAGGTATCACTTTTCACTCTGAATATATGCAAAATGGCTGTGCTACATTCCCCAATTAGTAGGAACCAACAGACTGTATTAGAACAGTTGCATTTAATACATTTTCATCTAGACTTTGTCCTTAAAAAGGAATGATACAGCTACGACTGTTGCTCAAAGAAAAAAAAACAGCACTTTTCCCGAGTCACTGCAGAATGACTATCATGAACATAGTAATCCACAGGTACAGGGAGGAAAACTCATGCAGCAGAAAGGACTCAGGTAAGATGAGTACGTATAATCAAAAAGCACAAGGGAAAGCATGAAGTGAAAAGATTTACTTAGGAAAAAGACAGAGTGATGTAACAGAAGTATAAAAAATACTGATGGGTCTAAAAGAAATGGTTTGAGAACTCTGGCTGTGTTAGTCTCACCAAACAAGGACAAGCAGATCGCCAGCAAAACTGAGAAGTGTCAAATTCTCAACAAAGATTGAAGCAAAGTAATTTTTTCCTCCTATTTTAGGTGAAAAGTCTTTGTCACAGAAAGCAGCTGAAAACTCCGCAAAATTCAAGCACTTATAAACGTAACAAAAGTTTACAAAATCCTCATAATAAAGGACTTGGATAGACATGGAGCCAGTTATCCACAAGCTACTTGTTACTGATCAAATAACAGGCAAGCAGCAGGGCTAGAATGAGTCTATGTATAGCAATACCTACATACAATTTCTGTATGTACAAAAGCTTACCCATTATTAAAAAAGTAATTAAAGCCAAATATACTTACTGCTGTCATATATTGCATCTGATATAACAGGATCAAGTTTCCGTGTGAAACTACCATTACTGTCAGGGAGAAAGGCTGTAAACATAAGACGCACCACGCTGAGATCCATTTCTTTAGTCTGCTGTACTGCTGCCTGACGAATAATTTCTCTTTCTCGTTCTGGAACCAGTAAGTAGACAGAGGAATTAACAAAAGGGATAGGAGATCCATAACAAAACAGAGAAAGCATTTGCCAAACATTACTATCAAAATGAACCCACAGCAAGAAAATGTTTTCCTTTTCATTTAATATCCATTGGCTTCTCTCTTTTTAAGCAAACAGGAGCAGCTCTTCATGAGATACTGCATTCATCTTGCAGTTTGTGCATCAGATGTTATTTAAGATAAGGTATGTAATTAAGAGACATACAGAAAATTACTATTTTCTGCTCTCAATTTATAAAGGTTGCAAAAAGGATAAAGGCCACCACTAAGGACATTCGAATGCCTGTCACTAGAGTGATAAAGAGAAGGCTGGCCCCTCTACACAGTGCCTGAAAGCACAGGTTTTACAGGGATATGGGTGAAATGCAGCTGAACGAAACAATATTCTAAAAAGACGACCCCTAATATGGTTAGGGATATCATGTCTTGCAGCAATAACACAAAATTACTCTTATTTATCAGCTTATTAAATAGGATAAGAGCAATGAAATACAGGTGCAGATGTGGGTACAGGCAGCTATGAAAGGAAGTTGATCCATTCTCATGTGTGTTGGCATCCAAGACTTACTTTCAGATTCCCTAAAACACAGCAACAACACACCACCTCTTAAAGCACATGGTCACAGGCTGTTTTCCTACCCAAGGCCTTTTTCTAGCTGAAAATCAGTGTTTTCAGAAGCTAAGTCTGGTTTTAGTAAAAGACTATTAAAAGCAGGCTGTGATTTCTACATACCAGTTAGCTGTCTGTCTCCACATCCTTCTGCCTGCAGATAGCCAAGTTCAGGATGTACCAGCAGTCCTGGGTTGTATCCTTTTTTGCAAGCATCTATCATCCGTGTTTCCAGAGTTTCAAACACTTTCTTCTTTGTGACATGAAGTATTCCAAGATTTGCAAACCTGTCAAATTTTGATCAAGGGGAGTATTTCTTAATGCTTTATGCAGGCAGTTTCTCTCTTACCAGAGGCAGCTACAGAACTGAAGTCAGTGGAAGGACTCCATAGGCTTTCTTAGGCACTATTAGCTCTTGAGGGCAAGTTTTCCAGCAAGAAGAATTCAGCCAAGCTTACAAAACATGTAAAATGTGCACCATTATACAGCAGCGATCATATGGGTGAATGGAATTTTCCCATGGCATAAAGAGCAACCTCTTAGGTTTCCAACCTACACCGTGGAAACAACTTAGACAACATTTGAAAATCTGATCGTCACACTTTGTTTGCTCTGTCTTGGTGATGACATTAATATGTCATTCTATATGGCTGTTATGCAGAGCAACTGCTCAGAATAAGCTCCATCCGTTCAAAATGATTTGGAGAGCAAGCTAAGAAGCTAAAAACAGTGCAACATTTCCCAAAGGAAATATATTGAACAAGGCTCTGGACATTCAGTAAGACACTTCAGATATCTATTTGAATGAAAACTTCCATAATACACGATCTGCTTTTGTAAAAATCTTCTGGCACATTTAAAAATCAATTAGATCTGGAAGTATGAAAACAAGACAATAACTCAGTATTCATGTGGGTCAATTGAGGATAGGAAAGCTGTTTCTAAACATCTGATGAAAAACAAGACAGGTTAGGAAATGAGCCAAACTTTTCAAGATGAAAAGGAGCATTTCAAATAAAGCTATTTAAATTGTTGTGCTTGGTAAAGTTAGTGCACTGGGCTTGGACATCAAAAGTTATACTTTAAAAAGAATCTCTCTCTCCCAACCTTCTCAGCTTTTTAAACTTCACCTTCTTCACCAACAAAGACATTCTTGAGATCACAGAATTAAAACTCATAGCCAGCATGAAACCTGATCTAAGCTTGAAAATGTAGACAGGAGCCTCAGCTTCATTTACTGATACAAACAATTACTCTTTTAAATTAAACAAGAACAAACCAACTACAATTTCACTACAATATTACTGCTTTAAACTTAAAAAGTTTGACTCATTCAGTATCTTCATGTTTATACGTGTCTTGCATTAATTTCAAATTTACTAACCCTATTTTCTTAACACTTTTTTCTTCACTAGATTACTATTGGGATATTTCAGCAAAATATTGATCAAAACTGTAACAAAAGCTTGTCTTCAGTAATTTTTAATTACTCTTTGACGGAAATCACTTGCATTTTAAAGACGGGCTTACAGTACAAATTTGGACTGCACACCAAGAGATTGAAACTTTACAAATTCTAAGTGAAAATTACTTGCTCAAACCTATTTAGCTTGCTTAGGGCAAATTCCACAAAGGTAAACAGAAATTCCATTTATTTTTCTAAGATACAAACAAAACACAGATCAGAGTGTGAAGACTAGTGCTCCACTTAGTTGCCTCTAAGTAGCATTTTAGTATTGCTTCTTACAGTGCTTATACTTGAGTCTGTCTCCCTTAGCCCAGCAAATTACAAATGAGTTGACAGACTTACCCCACAACCATATCTTTAGGTCCTGCATTAACCGTGCATACTCCATCTTCACAAAATTTACCCACCAAGCTGTGAGCATGTAAGTGTACGTATTTCCCATTAGTAACTAACTGGACGATTACTTTTGCAGGTCCAACATAATTGCAGATCTGTAAATAAATAGAAAAAAAAACTGTGGGGTTGTTTGTTTGGGTTTTTTTTAATGAAACAACTAATGATTCCAGTTGAGTATTTTCTGTCACCTAAGTACAATCAAGCTTACACAGGAGAAATGTGTATGCATTTCCTCATGAAATAAAAATGACAAGCTAACTGTAGCAGATCATTAAAAAGCCACCACTTTTTTTGTAATTAAACTTGACATACAAATGTCAGAAGTAGTGACCAAAAAAGTTAAGAAATAAAACAAAGCTAAAGTAAAGCAACGATCTGCTTCCCAAATCATGAATCTTAGTTTTTACCTTCTGGCCAGTCACTCCCCATTGCTCATATATATTCCAATATATATATTCATATATTCCAATTAGAACAATGATTTCACAATAAACGTTGTTACATGTTAAGAAGCATACAGAAAATATACGTATTTAATAAAAAAACCTACATTATTTTGCCCAATTTAAAAACACTTAAAAAAATTAGTTTTAAATATTATGATTGTTTTAAAACATTTTGGCCTCATTACAATGACACTTCAGGTAGAAATGTTAAAGCAAACTAATTCCATATTCATAGGTATTTTGTTAAATCAATATGCTACATCAGCACATATTACCCAGTCCATTAAATATTTCCCTTAAGTGTACATGAGGATATATGCTAAATCCCCAACTAAGATTTTGCAAGACTGGAATTATGATAAACTAGGTGCCTTAGTATAGCCACCTCTGGAGGAATACAAAGCTTTTTTTTCCCTGTTATAGTTTCTAATCACCATGCATTTTTTTAGTAACTTTTAAAATTGTGATGTTAAGTAATGCCTCAAAACCAAACCTAAAATTACTAATAGCATACTGTATTGGTAAGTTACTTGTTTTCATTTATTATTTAGAACTTTATTTTCTTTCCTCAAAAGTAATACTCTTCAAATCAGTTATTGGTTATGCAACACTCAAATTATGCTGAATATAAAATTATCACACTTTTTAAAAAGCAAACATTGCCTTCCCTTCCAATTCACTTAATTAACCCTTTTATCAATGCTGGGGCTTTTTTCCCTCCTCCTCTAATTTTTCTTCTAATTTGCCTTGGGCAAAGTTCTTTGTATTACAGCAGCTTATAGATCTAATCAAGCAAGGTATTAAAGGATGACGATAAACATTAAAGTGATGAATCAGTGATGAACTGAATACTTAAGGTTATATTGTTGATAAAATGCTGATAACCAGGGATTGCCAGGATTTCATCACATTACTAAGTCCTGCTGGCTTCCTTCACTCCAGTTAACCCCTCTCTTGAACCCATTCCATCACAGCTGAAACACTCTACATACATACAACGCGTGCCCTCCCCGTCTTCCTATTCATTGCTAAAAGCAAAAAAAATCCCAACTATGAAAAAGCTGTTCCAGGAGGAACAGGTGAGCAAAAGTCCTCTCATTACTCACTGCCTGCTTGTTAACCATAACTCTACTCTTAGAGGCAGCAGCTCCTAAAATACAAGACGTGGGGTACTCATGCTTCTCTCCGGTTTCCAAACTGTATTCCCTCTTGGGCTGAAACAATACAGAGATGTAGAATAATCACTGCTTCACTATCTCCACTATTTGCCTGCAGTGAAAAAATGCAGGGATTCCTAGGTAACTTTCCCAAAGTCACCTGAAAATAAGAGGACTGCGTTTGGTACTATGTGTCACCACCACTACTACAATTAACTTCTGAAGAGGGGGGCTTTAAAAAAAATATTTTAATTTTATCCCTCACTAAACAAGCCTTTCCCTGCTATAAAGTTCCCAGAACATCTATATCACTATATTCATTATGAGTAACATGCATGTTCTAGTGTCACATCAGAAAAGTTCAGGACAATCCTTCATCAGCTGTAGAAACCACAGTGAAACTGTAGGTACGACTGCTGCACGTCAAGGACTTTCCAGCCTCTGAAAGCAGAACATAGAACTGCAGCAGTAACCAGATTGCAATCTCCCCCCTGTTACTCAGCTCAGCATGATCTTTGCAGTCTCTCTCAGGGGAAAAACAAGAGTTCTTAAGACGTAATACCTTATGTAGGTCATAAGGCTAGAAAGAACTATTTTTTGTCATCCAGTCTGATGTCCTATGCTGCAAAGGCTACAAAATGTCCCTGAACTGTTTCCTACCTTATTTCCTATAGACAGATTTTCCTATTTGATTTTGAGATATTCAGGTTACCTCGGTGCCCAGCAAAATAGCCTCAGTGGTTAAATATCCTTATGTACTGTAAGTCCAAAATAATTTTTCAGTGTTTTTGAATCTTTGATGCCACAATTTCAGAATAACTTTAAAAGTATTCTGGCACTAAAATACACACCTTTTACGTAGGAACTTAACACTATCAAAGGCATTTGGCAGACGGTGTATTACAATGCTGAGTATCTATAGAAACCTGAGGATTATGGTGTTAACACAAAAACATATACTCAACTTAAGAGGGAGATAGCACGCGGGTGCTGTACTGCTCAAAATCAGAGCTGTGATCTGAAAGAAATAGCTACTGAATCTCAAATCAAAGATAGGAGAGAAAAAAAGAAAATAAGGAGTTCCTGGGAAGAACATAGCTGTAATACTTGATTACATCCTGTACTGAAGCAACATTCAATTGATCTAATCTGATAAAAGTTAAAATGCTGCAGGCTCACATTTATCTGCTGCTTCTGTTTGAGAGAGATTTGTCTGAGAGATTAAAAGGACCCTGTGAACTTGAAATTGAGTCAATTTCAAAACAAGAGTTGACATTTTTTTCAATTTCACATCCTCCTGCAATCCAGACCCCAGTCAATTTTTTATAGTTTCCGAAACTTTACAAAAACTTTATAAGAACATTTTCCTACTTCAAAGATGTTTTTTCCAGTTACTCTTACAAGCAAGAAGTGAAACCAACTGATCAACGACAGAAAGTAAATGATGGAAAAGACCATGTCAAACCTACAAAGCCAGTAACTACAAAAATACCTATGTCTCTTTCTAATCAATTTGTTATAACAACTATAGCCCCAAACCTGCCTAACTTTCAGTGTAACTAACACTGCCCTCAATACGCACATACAGAAGTGTTCCACAGATGAGGCATCACTCACTCTTTATAAACAGCATCTTTTCACAGAGCAGCATTTTTTTTTTCTGGTTGCTAGTTTAAGACAAAGTATTTCAGATGTGGTATGAATCGTTTAGGTGACTGAATACTTACCTAGAGGTCTAAGAATAAGCAATGTAAAGTGATTTAAACCAATAGGAGCTGCAGATCTTCCGATCCTCTGAAAGTGAGGTCACTCTCATGACAAAAACACAGATTTAAGTGTTCTGCTTTAGGAGCCCAACTAAGGGACTTGGTGCCCCATATTCAGACAAACTAACCATAATGGTATAAAGCACAAATCTCACTGAATTTAGTTTTGGCTGAATGTTGTTCGCTACAGGTTTTTATGAAAGGTATAGATTTATAACAAGAAGTCTGCTCATTCTTGTCTCATGTTTATTCCTTAATTCAGCTGTTAAATGAATTTGTAACTTGGAACCAGTGATCTATCATTATACAATTTAATTCCTATGGGGGGAAAAAAGCAAAGATGCTGCTCCTTCTTCACTAAGAAGGCTCATCAAACAAAGTAACTTGACTAACTTTCCATAAATTCCCCTCCTGAATTTGAAGTATGTGCTGAAATCCCCGATTTCAATATGAATGCTTATCTCCAAATGGAGGTATAATTTAGGATAGCCCCAGGACATGACTGGATGGGCAGTTCTCCTGTTCAGGTGCCTGGGTTCAGGGCTGCCTAGCTGACATGCAGCTTCCATTCCCAAGCTGGACAGCACAACGTTGAAACTCTTCAGCGGAGAAAAGGTGCTCATTAGGTCAGGCACACACCTCTGAGATGGGTAACTCGGTCTCTGGGCTGGAGCTGATTTACATCCAGCCCGCAGACAATAGGCAACTTGAGTTTGCAGCCACCCACATAGATTTGCCCTCAAGGAGATGAAAATTCAGGACATTTCCTTCACACCACTATTTTCAGCGAATTCTTTTCACACCCAAAAGTGGATCAAGCACTTTAGTGTAAAACATGAATATGCCTATGCCAAGATCAGTATGCAAGATCTGGACACACATGGAAAACGTGTAAGGCGGCCAGCAGAAATTTTCTGCACAAGTTTTCTCAGTTTTTTCAAATACATAAAACCAAGCAAATTATGAATAAAACATGTAGACAGTTAAGTAAGATGGTGACAATATTAGACAATCCAGTTTTATTCTTTCTTCTTATACTATTGATTTTTTCCCTTGGACAAAAAGCTAACGACAAATAAGCAGCTCAGGAGCTTTGATTTCAACTGTCCTAGACAGTAAAATTTTCCAGCATTGTGTTACACTAAGCAGACAAAAATGAAATTTAAATTAAGAATTTTAGGTAGCTTTCCACTGTAATTATGAAACTTGTCAAGATATGTAACTTCATTATAACATGTTCAGTATCTACAACTTCTCTGCTCTCCATAACTACATGCAAAGTTACATAAATTCCTCTGAAAACACAAGATGTTTTCTACATGATATTAGGATTACTGTTAGCAAAGACAGGGCTGAACAAAGGAATATAATTCCATAATCCATAAAGATAAATTAATCCAGTTTTTGATATTATATAAAAATACTACTGTTATCTAGACTCCATTTGTTATGACTGCTGTTAAGAGGTTTTAAATCAATTCCACCTCACTGGCCACTGCAGATTTGTCTTAAGTGTAAAGACTGGCATTGCAGAAGTAACTCCTGACCTACACCATCTCCTAATATAAAGGAGGTTGTTAAATATGTGATTAACTACCAAAACATCCAAACATCCAACAAACCAAAACTGCTTAGACACATAGCAAAGTCTTCAGCACTCCAGTCTTTAAATGAAAGATACGTCTTTTATGTCTTCCAGCTCAACTACAGGTTAGCAACTGGGTGCAGGAAAACAGAAAAGGGTGAAGTTGAACAGTCCACATTATGCAAGAGGTCATATTAGATAAATGTGGGGTTTTTTTGGCCTTCAATCCACAATCCTGGGAAAAAGGATTACGGAGACTGCAATTTTTTTGTGTGTACTGAAGAGGTCTATTTTCAGGACAACCCCTAACAGCTACTGGTAAATCATATCAGCTTTCTGTGCAGAGTTGGCTAAGCAGAAGAGAGATCCCATCGTGAGCTGCACTGACCACACCATAGCCAAGGATTAAAGATCTGTCACAAAACCTCCTTTTTACAGTACAGCCAAAGGTCACTCACTCTACTGTCCTTTCACAGCACTGTGATCAACCAATGGAGACTTTATTATGAAAGTTTACAAGAGTAAAAAAAAAAACCAAAACACCTCACAACAAAAAACCACAACAAAAAATAGCCACCTTCAGTTGTACTCACCTCAGTTATGACAAGGTGAGCAGCCTTTAACAAAACAGAAAAGAGACTTACAGGAAAAGGTGTGAAACACTTCTGTCTTTACTGGCACCACTTGAATCAAGAACAGGCACTAACAAGCAATGGCCTTGAGGAATTTACTTGTTGTGTTCCCTTGCCAGCCTCTCCCAGCAGGTGTTGCCATGTGGGGATTTGTACTAGAAAAAAACCCAGATGAACACAGCAGGACGAGAGGGAGGGAGGGGAAAGGGACAAACGTGTATATGTGTGTGTGGAAGCTTTAGATTAAATTAAAATCTTATGATCATTGAAAACAGAAGGTTTGATGGAAAGCCAAAGAACATTTTGCTTTCTAGTTTACTCAAGGAAAAATTCCATTTCCCGTATAACTCCTCATTGCATATCTCCTAGTCATGCTATTGTGCAACCCATCACATCCTTATAAAGTATGAGTTGTATTATTATTAATACAGATTGGATTGGAATCCAAAGATATGGCTCAGTTGAGTTAAATTATTTTATATCTGAACATACCAGTGAAATTTCATTCATCAGTCCATCATTACTGTCACAATACAAAAGGGAAAAGCAAGTAGATCCTTTGCCTGGGCTAGTAATTTTTCATAGGAGTTTTGCAAGGCTATATGAAATCAGCTTTCCCAGCCTCTTAATTCACAAGACTAACACCCTAGGCTATCTCAGCCAATGCTGATTATTTTCCATTGAGTCATGCTCATACTGATTCATTATGGAGATGCAACTGTTCCAAACTCCAGCCTTTCTCAAGAACTGCAGAAGAACTACAGGCATACTGCAGAGAAAGCTGAGGAATGGCACACACCAAAACTGCTTGCCACTTTTCCCTCCCCTTCTCTCCCCCTAAAGGAAACAGTAAGAGATAACACCAGAATTAAAATACATTAACCCCGCTCCTCATGAGACAGTCTCTAGTGGAATAGTTCAAAGAGGTAATGAAATACCAAGACTAAGACTTTCATTAAGTTAAAAAAATACTGAAAGACATAGTGTATCTTTTCCCCACTTCCATGGAAAAAGAATTTGCTGCAAGAACCACAGGCAAAAAAAGTTCTGTAATCTTAGAATGATTAATCACCACTGTTATAACCTTTATATTGTGATAGCACAGAATGTTTCTTTGATTAGCATGCCTGAATTTCTTCCTGGGAAAAAAAGCCTCAAAAAACCTTCAGCAAACACCTGAACATAATGCTATTCCTATCAAAACGAGTTTTCCATTGACATTAAAGGAATTAAGTCCTTAAGAACTGGGTATCCTAGAGACACGGAGTAAGGAATAACATGAACAGAAAAAGAAGGAAAACGTAGTAAATAGCATCTTAGAGTGAGCTGGAGTAACTGACCAGACTCATGCTTAGCAGTATGCTAGAAGTGTAGCAATTTGAGCAGCTCAGGACTTGCTTTATGCTAAAACTGCACCTTAAGGAAGAGCTCCATTAGTCTGCAGGAGGGTAGCTAGGTGGTAAGTGCAGAAAAACTTAGTGCTCAAGTGCTGGCAGATAAATACGGTGCCAAAATAACTCCACATATCTGAAGACAGTTTCTTTTTCAAAATCAATTAGATTTTAAAAGTTGGGATTGAAATGCAGTCAGTCTTGAGTAACTTCATACAAATTATGTTGATACGCAGTAAGGTCCTATACACATACATATGACACATGCATTTTGCAAAATTAATGATTTATGTACTTACTTTGACCTGAGGGTATGATTTTTTGTTCTTTTCACTAGAAGCACCAGGAAGTCCACCATGTGAAGGCCCTTCACATACATATCGGAAACGAAACCCCCTCTGTGGAAATAAAGGAAAAGAAACTTGAAAGCTGTTTAGAAACAGAACTAAAAAAACAACAAAAAACACCCAAACAAACAAACAAAAAAAACAAGAAAGAAAATCACACACACACAAGGCTTGCCCAAACAGCCCACAAACAGAAAAGTTACAACTGTTCATCCCTGAAATGCTGCCTGAGTGCTGGTTAACAAAGCACCACTGAACTGTAGCCCTAGAGGACCTGTTCTATTCTCACACACAGAAGAAACCCGAAATCTTTCTTTCCAGTAAGTGAAGGTATTTTGAAGCAGAGACCTATTTATACTCTCAAAGCAAGATAAAAATTAAAAGACAGGGAATGCAAGAGCAAATACTCTCTCCCATCATGACTGCTGCTAGGAAGAGAGAATTGAAGCCAATGATAATCCAGGTGAACTATGGTGAACTGAGTGACCAGTGTATTGCAAGTGAAGTGCTCAGCTATGATGAGCTTGAACTCAAGTTGTCCAAAAGGCAAAGCAGAGCAACCTCTGCAGTCACGACACGAGACGACCCAGTCTCTCTTCACCTCTATGCCTTCAGTCCAACAGATCCAGCAGTTATCTGTGTGGCCTTCCCCAGCCTATTGCCATTGCTATCCAAGCTATGTTTTCACATATACAGTCTTACTCCTGCTCAGTTGTCTCTCTGCTCCAAACACGATCACAAGCACAGCACTCTGCTGATGGATCACCCTGTTATAAACCATTGCCCAGCTTGCCACATGGCTACTCCACTACAGGAGTTTCTGGCTAAGAAGTCATGTATGGAAACAATGGTTTCTCCTTAAAGAACTGTAGGCTCCACCATGCAAAGACAAGGCCTGATTTGGGATGAGCTAAAACAACAAGGAAGAGGCACCGTATTCTTCCAAGAATACACAGTTCACAGAACACTGCTGTTTCACCTATGACCATGAAGTGTCCCTATTCCTGTAGGGATGCTTGAGCACAAAAATGTCTTTGGTGTGTGGCCAAAACAAATGTTCTCTACCACCTCCTAACAGGAAGACTGGATTGCGGCACGCTTCTGCAGAAGACCAGGTAGAGGGTGGGACAGCTTTTAGTTGCTCTCTTCCCCTGTCTGCTTAACAGCTCTGTAAGGTAGGATTTTATGCAACTAATTGGGAGAGGCAGTAAAGGAGTCTCCATACTGCAACAGCTTCAGGAGGAATACTTGTAATTTTTGATGCCACCAGCTAAAGGGGAACAATACCCTGGGCATACTTTGGAGCAGTCTTCACCCAGCAATTACTTTGTACGAGTTGCATGAAAACTAACCAGTGCATTGGGATGACTTTCATACTGTCAGAAGAGCATAAGTGAGTGTTTGCTACACAGTCACAAAAAGAGTTACATTCAAGAGTATTTATCTTCCATTTTTCTTGGGTTATTCAAAACAGTCAACTGTGACACATCTCAAAGAACAACAGAATTTCTTTACGATGACAAAGCACACATCAAAAGTTCCTGTAACTTGGGAACAGAATGAAATGTTTTTATTTTTTCTTTCCTGTGTTTCAAGAAACATGAAATATTCTAAAAATCTTCCGTGTCTAGTCTAATCATTTACATTTCAAAATACTGGTGTACTGTAAGAGTCACTTCTAAGATGAAGAATCTATACTCAGCAAGACATTTTTTTTTAAAACCCTCAGTTTTTTTTTCTTGTGACACTTCCAGAGAGACACAAAGATGAAAACAGAACAAAACAGGAAACGATTTAACTACAAAAGTGAGAGGAAAAACTGCTCATGGTTAAGTGCTACATTTGTTTTGAGAGTTCAACCCCTTCAATACTATTTTTTTTTTTTTTCTCCTCTTAAGTCATAATTTTATTCAAAGCTGAATATGGTGACATGACTACCTTAAAGATTTTCAAAATCCAATGTTATTCTTACCTGTTTTGGCTGTTCTATGATTTGAAGATATGGTCCATCTGCTAACATAAAAGAAAGAAAAGTTGTAATATAAATTATATTTCTATTACTATGACATACAAATTGCAGAGGTAAAATTTATGTTCTTGAATGTCTTGAGATAAAATTTTTGAAATCACCTAAGCATCTTCAGAACTTATACTGTAATAAATAAATTAATCACTTGGAAATTTGTAATTTCCAGCGTTCCCCAAGGCAAGTGATGTAAGGGAAGAATTAACTCAAAAAAGTTAATTTGAGCTCAGAGGGCCTAAATGGGGAACTCTGATCACCCACTTAAGACTGGCAAGGGTGAGCACGAACAGGATCCTCCCCTTGCCACTGACAAGCAGGCTGGTCTTCCTGAGCTAAGGTTAACTTTTGTATTTAAACCCCTTGGGTTCTAAAGACTATACTCACAAGCTTTTGGCCCTAGGGCTTCCTACTGAATAGATGCTTTTGAAAGTCTAGAGACAGCCAATGGGAAGCTCTGAGGTATGGGAATATAGGAGGAATTTAAGCTGTTTCAACATGCCCTAACAGTCAGAACTGCTTAAAAAAACCCAAACCTGGAACTGAGGAGACTGAACAATTTACATTCTTTTAATAATTTCACATACACTTTTATATATACTGTTCTGCTGTGCCTCTAAAAACACTGAACACACTCTATTTGACTACAGATACAGACTCTATATAATGAGATCCATCTCTGAGCATGATGCTAACACATGGGATTATGCTCTACTAAAATTCTATTTGTGTCTTTCAAAGAAGGCTTACTTAAACAACTTTCAGTCCTGCACTGCTCCCTGAACAGTGGCTAACTTCATACCATAAACCTCATTCAAAATTCACCAGTTCAAATAGCCTTTGAGCAGGCTCTAAACCCAATGAGAACTCAGTGTCACCAGAGTTAAGAATTCATCAGCTGATCAAAGCTTAGCTCCAACTCTGATCAGTTATTTACATCAAGAAGGAAAACTCTCTAGGTGGATGAGTTGATGGCTGCGAAATATCTTCTAAAATGCAAGCCACTCCTGAGTCTGAAAACAGTTCCACTGTGTTTCTTCACTGCCTCTTGCTAAGCAGAAAAGATTCAGATTTCAATGCTAAATATTCAACTGTTATCAAAGCAAATCCCCAATGACAGCTTCACTGTGAATACCTACACAGTATTTTGCCACTTATATACCTGTTGGAACTATGTATCATCACTTACACTCTATTAAAGGTATTAATGCTAAGGAGTCAAGCAAACTCGACCTACGAAACCTCCAAAGCAGACAAGCCACAGCTATGTGGCAGATCTTGCAAGCGTACAAAGCATATCGTGCCCTGCCAGCATCCAGGTGTGATCTGCCTCTGAACAACGGCACCATCTGCAAGTACCACACCATCCAGCTACCTCAACCAGGTAGTACTTGGCTTCAGCACAGAACCACATACTTGCATTAACTTTAGACCTAGTGTTCACTGAAAATTAAAAATGGCAGAGGATTCATTAATTTAGTTTATAATACGACTACATGCATCCTTCTCAGCTCCTCAATACAACTTCACTTTACTAAAACAAACCCTCATGTTTTTAGTCAGCACAGGTCTTACTTGAACAGGCTTCTCTCAACATGAAAGTTTTGATAAATAAGTTAGTAGACGAATTAGTATTTTGCTGTTGAAGTTAGCTGACTCAGCAACAGAATTAACTTCATGCCAAAGTTGTATTGCAAATGTCAGTCACAACAATTTAAGAAAGATCATTTATTTCCCAAGTCCAACACTCTTCCTGTGAAAAACAGAGTTACAATTAAAATCTTGAAGTTGTGCAAAAGAATTGCCTCAAGATCATATACATGTCATCTTACATTAGAAAGCGTCGAAAACAGTTTGGACTTCAGAAACTTTAACAGACATAGAGTAATATTTAGCTTTGGTGTGGTTTTATGTTTCAGTTTTTGTCTGTAACATGGAGTCAAGATGAGTCGAGTTGGGTTTAAGCATTGTATCAGCACTTAAATTCAAGTCCTCTGTTCACAGACCTCTAACCCTCCTCATGCTTTAAGCATCTAAAATTCTACACTTGGACAATCCAAAGGCCTTGTATCTTCTGGGCACTGGCAGAAGTAACACACCTAAAATGCAACTGTGTAGTTCAACTTTCAACCAAGCCTTCAGGGCAGGATCTGCCAAGTAATTTTTCTTTGGCTGTTCTCTCCTTAGGAATTCATTTTCAAGGCATACACATTGGGTTAGTATCAGCATAAAATACTATTGCTTTCTCTTAAACGTTAGCCAGAAAAGGAAGCACTCTTTTATCTAACAGATAAGCGGCTGCAGCAGTCCCCCAGGATGCAGCAGACAGATTCCAACTTTTCCTCAGCATAAGGAAATTCAAACTCTTAAGAGAGGGATATACACTATACTGGCATATCAGAAAGCTCAAGGGGAATTCTTTGTACTGCTGAAATGGTTTCACCTTGTATGGCACCTCTGAAAAGTCAGGAAAATTGAAAATTTAGGACTGTGGTTCCTATGCCCCCTTGGAAAAAAGCTTATAAAAAGCATGAAAATATACTGATACAAAAAAGTCAAAGTATCTTACATACTAATACCAGGGAAATGCAAAAAAGGTACAGTGTAAATGTAAAAAGGCAAATTAGGTATCCGTTATCATTAACCCAGATATATAAGTTGTATACAAATGTACATAAAACACGGTTTTATGAAGTCTTATTTTAACCTTTGGGTTTTGTGTCTGAAGTTTTTCTTTTTTTACAATGACTAAGTAATTCTCTGGTATAGTATCTGAACCAGATCCAAGTAACAGTACAGAGAAGGCACTCTAATGCAAGGCACTTAATTACATTTGAAATGCTCTTTAAAAATAAAGCAGCAATATTCAAGGTAACTTCCAAGCATAAATGGTATATTATTTTGACTATAAAAAGGACTTTACTTAGTGAAAGGTCTCATACAGCTGTCTTCATTAAACTCTGAATACTTCCCAGAAGTACATTAGATGGACAGCCTAACACTGGCTGTATGTGGTTCCTTCTTTCTCTATCTCACCCTTCCCAGGTAGAAAAGAAAAGATGTTTAGTGTTTTGCACATGGAAGGTTTTAATATTTCATTTCTATTAGTAGGCATGTCTGGTCTAAGCGGACAGACAGCAGGAACCTGAAGATGTATTCCCCGTAAGAGCAACTAACGATGACAAGATTTGTGATGATCTTTTGCACCTCTGTTCTAAGCTGGGAAGTTGGTTGCTTCAAGTTCTTATTTAACAAGCACAAGAAGGAACACTAGTTAATGTATAGCTTAAGTTCTACTTTTGCCCTGCAGAGAGGCTGAAGGAGCATACAGTCACGGAGCTGGCATCTACACAGGGATGACTCTCACAGTTGCCAAGAGCCAAGTTTCAACATGAGCACTCCTCACAATTTGCCTGGCACTGCTGCAGTCAGGAGTGCTAAGAACGACAACTAAAACATGCAGTCCTCCAGCCTGGAGGGGGTTTGGTACATTCTGCCACATGCTGGGCATGCTTCAGTGCTTCCTTTTCTGTCTTCTCGCCTTGGTTGCCACAGACTGACACGCATCCTACTGACTCCCCTCCAGCCTGAGTCATAGGCCCACTTCCCCACATCTTCTTCAACTGCTACATTTCTTCATTTTCCTTCCTGCCTGAGTCAGAGGCTCTCCTGCATCTTGACACTCCCACCACCTACATTCTTTCTTCCTCTTGACAGGCCTCACCATGCACACACACTTCCCAAAGGAGCACCCATCTTAGGCTCCCTCTTGGTTCCTTCTTCCCATCATAGCAAAGTCAAGAGAAAAGGGGTTTTGTGACACTGGGATATCCCCACAAGCCTGGCAGCACCACAGGCCTAGCGGGGTTCTTTATCTAACAGCTTACCTAGTACCTGAAGCCATACAACTTAACCTGCAACCAGCTGTGGTCAAGTGTCCCGTCCCGCATCTCACCCTTGTAATCATGTGTCATTTTGTTCTGTGGATATTGGTGAAAATGCTCATAGCCTCCAGGTTTTGATTGTTAAATACAACATCAATCCTGTTGTGTCCATCCTGGCAGTGGCACTTTGCTAAGAGCTCAGACTCTAGATCTAGTGCCTTATCCTTCCTGAAGGCCTATTGTAGTATTGGTCTGTTCTCCCCCTCGGAGATTCACCCGCACAGGAACACCCTCTTGCATCTCAGCTCTGCAGTGTTCAAAGCATGATGTTTAAAGCAAGCAGCACATGGGCTTTGCTCTTCCCTCAGTTCACTCTTCAAAATACAAGCACAGAAGGTCTAGAAAAAACACCAGAAGCAGTATGCAAGTCTGCTCATGCTTATGAGGATTCGGGCCACTGCTACAGAACAGGGAAAATGAACACTCATCTAATTTTTAGTGATGGTCAGGCTTCCTTGAATCTTTATCATCCTCCCTCTGAAAAAATATGAAATAAAAGTGCCTTCTTTTTCCCTCTATGCCATTCTCAACAGAAAGCATCACAGAGGGTTGGGCAGAGGAGGTTGAAGTTATACCAGAAAACTAATTTTAGCAGCCTCCAGGCAATACTGTTCAGCTGCTGATGGTCCTGCTTCAACTTCACAGGCTTAAAACCACAAAACCTTAACACCAACAGATAGTTACCAAAACAATTAACAAGTTCCCAAAACCATCTCTAACAGGCACATAGATTGCTACATTACATGGCTGTAGATGGCTTTGTATAATCAGGAGGAATAAGAAACACCCAAAATTATAAAACGTTTTGCTCAGAGCTCTGCCCATTTCCTCTCCAATTTAATGCATCACTTTATCCCTCCACTACACAGTGGACATCACACTGATGCCTATCTACTTTTGCACTGCCTAAATACATGCCGTGGATAATGGCCCCTCCACTCCCAATGCCTTTGAGAATTACTACCTAACTCTCAAGGCAGGATACTTCCCAACGAGCCAAAGAAGAGGCTGACTTGACTTCACGACATACTGCCTTTGCTGCTGGTGGTTTTAAACACACAGCTCAGTCCTGTAGCTCGCACTGTTATGGCACTTGTTATAGATACACCCTTTTGTCACCAAAGGCACACAGAAACTATTTCTCTTTCTAGATTTAGATGTAAATGTAGCACTTGAACCACATTAACTAGCTACTACAACTTCAGGACCAAAATAATCAAGCCTAATTTTTACTTAAAACTGACATACGTGAGCTAAAGAAGCAAGCAAAGACACCTGAGCACTGACAAGCTCATTGAGAAAATTCTTGTCCTGACATCTCAAAGGTTTTCTACTATTACTGTAAATGTTAACATTACAGCAGAACATCTATCACCAGAAAGTCCCCAAATTCCCCAGCTATTTGTTGATTCACCTACGCTGGCATGATATGGCAATCCACAGTTATATATTAAACCTGCCCGCCAATGTAGTAAGTCTGACATTGCGCATTAATAAACGCAAGGACTGACAGATGCAGGCACCACAACAAATCACGAGGAACAAAATCTTTCTGTTTAAATCACCCAACTGTTGTAGAGAAAAGTCCATTTTAGAACACTGTATTTTACCCTCTCCATATCTCAGTTGGAAATACTTTTGGAAAATCCCACATCAATTTTTAACTGGCTTGCTTTGTAGAAAGAAATCATTAGTTCCTGCTTGAAAACAACTAAAGCATAATATATAAATTATTGTATTACCTTATGGTCGAAGAGCTAAGTCCACAGTAACAACACCACCTAGTTTCAAGCAGGGGAAGAAGCAAGCATTATACTGCTGCTACTCAAAAAACAAAATCACAATGGCATCATCAGATGCCATTGAAATGGTCAACGGCATTTTCTAAAACTTATGATTAAATTTTTGTTTGTGATAACCTGAAATCCATGATCCTTTATTAAATCCCAGTTTGTACACAGGGAACTCACCACCTAGAGTGCAGTAGTAGACAAGAGCAGTGCTGCTAAAAACAACAAAAAAAGGCTTTTTCAAAGCAATTATGCAAATTAAGCTAGACTTAGCCCAGTAAGAGTTTTCTGTGACTGCAGAACTCAGTGAATTCTTGACTCCCCCACATGGTTTTAAAAACAGCTGTTTTCTAGTTTAAGCAGGATATAGATATCTGAAAATCAGTTTTATATATCTGAATAATTTGTATGGAATGAATCTGGCATGAGGAGTACAGAGCAAGCTTAAAAGTTACGTGCAAGAGAGATCATTATGGGGAAATCAAAATTCCAATAACCTTATTTGTTCCATAAAAACTCTGGGAGAAGTGTAAAAAAAACCCTTGGTATACAATGCACAAACCCTTTAATCCTGCACAGATGAATCTTACTGAACAATCTTATCTGCCTTAATAAAAACATACTGCAAACACAAATGATTGCAACATTCATTTGTTGGATGCTTGTCCATATTTGCCAAGAGCTTTGCTCATCAGAACATTTTATCTTGAAACAAAATTGGCTGTACCATATGTGTTTCTTGATCTTTCCTTGCTACTATTCAGTCAAGAAAACTGAAGTATGCTTTAAATCAGGAAACACTGAAACAGTAACAGTGATTTTTTTATTTTTAAATCAGCATTTATTACTACTTTAGGGTGGAATTTTACCTATGAAGTAAAAAGCTAATTGCTTATTTCATGTTCCCCTTCACACTTTCACTGCTGCCAAGTGTATCAACTATCGAGAACAAGTGATTAGCATTTTCTACAAAAGAAAGCAATCTGCAGTACAGAAGTAACCCGCTACACAACAGAGTCAAACAGATCAACAACAGAAAACTGTCATGTTGAAAGATATAGATATATTGGAGATACATATTGAGAAAAATCTCATCTGCCTAAATAAATTTTTATTTCCTTCCTCCTTTTATATCAGCTATTCTAACAAACTATGCAGGGGAAACAGTTTTCTAAATTCAAGCAAGTAACACTATTAAAGAAATTTAACAAGCAAAACCAGACCAGGGTTGACAAAGAAGCTAATACTGGCTGAGGTATAACACACTTCTAGCTGATAGTCCTGTTCTGGAACCATACTGGAAGAACTGTGTATGAGACCTTTTCAGAATACTATTTGCTTATTTTCAGTGGTTGGCTGCAAAATTTGACTCTGAACTTTCAAACTAGTGTTATTATTCAGGAAATTGTCAGGTACTTTTAATACTAGACTGCCACTTTACAGGAAACAGAAGTCACCGAGAAGGAAAAACAGACTCAAATGATACAGGAAGTTGAATATACTCTACATGCTATTAGTGAAAAACAAACACCTTAAGAATTATTCCAACAAATGAAACACTGTTTAAAAGAAAAAGAAAGAACACGTTGCGCTCTGAAAACTGTCCATACAAACACGTAGGTCATTGAAGATGTGAATTTAGAAAAAGAATACAGAATAATTTATAAAAATTAGTCACTCAAAGGTCCTTGGCCACTCAAACCATTTAACTAATCGAAACTTTCAGTTTCTGTACAAGCCAAAAGAAAATCATATTTGCTTCACTGTTGAAAATTTCATGAGGGTAGGAAAGAGATGCTTAAGATTGTAATAAAAAGTCTAGTACTTCAGCATCTAGTATTAACAAATACAAGAGTGTATATAAAAAAAATCTCTGAGAAGAACTTCACAAAAAACAAACTGGAAGAAACAGCAGTACAATAGCACAATCAAACAGCAACAGTTTCCTACCTGTTCGTAGTGGTAGGTCTGATGTGATGTAATTTGTATTATTAAATAATGCATTCATTCCCATGAACTGTTCCATTGCAAACATCTATATTGAAACAAAATATACTCTTCATTACTACATATATACATAATTTCATAAAGCATCTATCGGCAAAGAATTTCAAAGTTCTCTGCAAATATTGAGACTGTAAACACCCTGGATGCAGTACATTAACTTCTTATATCTATTTTGTTTTTGCTGGCAACAGCGGTGCAAACAAAACTGATTGTACTGACCAAGTTTCACCAGTATCACGAGACCGCACTGAGCTCAGCACATTTGCTAAGCACCCATCTTGCTTACATGCACTAACAACTATATATTCAAAAGAGCTTATACAGTAAATTCTGAAAATCTGACCCTAGATGTCTTGTCCAAGGTCTTGCTGAGAACTTTTGAGTTTTCATTTCCACTTCTGTGATTAAACCCCATCAGACTATATTCCTTATGTAAATATATTTACAAGCTCTAATGAAAGAAAACCATATAACCAGGTTAAAATTTTTCTGGGGAGTTTGGTTTGTGGTTTTTTTTGAACACTGACATGCCTTAACTCACTGTAATTGTTGTCAGGTATAAATCTAACTTCTTCCAAAGTGGAACAAGCGTAACAGAGAAATAGTTTCTTTTTGGAAATTAAGATGAGTAGAAATGGTCTTTCTTTACTCAAACTTTTCACTCAAGCACAATTCTTGCAATTCAAATGGGTCATGAAATGACCTAATGTGATCAGGAAGAGCTTCTGAAGAGCTACGCCTACTGCTCTGTGTGAGTGAAGGAACATTTTAGTCATCAATGTCAATGTAAATTTCACAAAAAATGACACCAAGGGGCCTTTGAAGGCATAGGGGGCTTTATTTTCAAATAAAGTCCGATGTCCACCACAGAAGATGTTTCAGAGCAAGTTTCACAGGCACACAGGGCATAAAACCAACTATTTTTTAAACTCCTTCTTTCATCAGGCCTAGCTTTCCTTTTCATTTCAGCCATTTCACCAGTGACAAGGCAATTTACAGGTCACATAAAAAACACTTTAGAGAAAAAACCCCAAGATTTCCCCAAACTTTTGATTTCTGCCAATAGCTAGAATGCTTTTATCTTCATGTTGTTAAGCCTAGGAAATAACAGGACAATATGAGAGGAAGCCAAAACAGAAAGATAGGAGACAATACAAGGATATTGAAAATATACAAATCCACTTACTTGGGGATCAGACACACCCATAATATAGGAATCTTCTCCTGCCATTTTAAGTCCTGAAACACAAAAACACGATCAGAATTCTCAATTTTTTTTCCAATGTACTGCAATACTTACTTTACTCATAATGTTAATGATTTCTAAAATACTCTTAAAATGTATTAGTATTTGCAAGGGACAGGCTAAGGACAGGCTAGACTACAGCTAGGATTTTCCACTGCCTGCTCGCAAGCAACTAAAAATTACAGCAAGGTCCTCAAGTCAAAATTTATTAAAAGCAGTTATTAATTTGTTTCTGTCTTAGTTCTGGCTATTCTGACAGTAGGGTTTAGGCAAAATTATCATAGTTTAGCAAAAGCAGGACTCTGCATTTTTATACAATAATAAGACTTCTGTGCGTTCATGAATGAATCCTAATGGTTTTCTTGTGAAGTATTACTAAATGCAAGATAAAGCCTGAGGAAGAACACCCATTATTTTTTATTTAAATAAAAGCAGGAATCAAACACAGACTAATTCTGGACCTTTATTTCCAGAGGTCCACAAGTGCCTGGCGCTCACAACAACTCAGTGCTGACAATGATGATCATGGATGTACAAGATACTTAATTGTCTCTCACAGGTCTACATGTAAAGGGTGGACACTGGGGAAATGTAGCCTGGTTTAGTTTTCCTGGGGCTAGCAGCAAGCCAGCAGCAGAGCTTGGAAATTTTCTTAGGAATTTGTTAGGTCTATTATAAAAGATTGGGGCTATTTCCTTTCGTGTAGACATTACTGAAAGAATTATAATTTCACTTATATTGATCTTACTGAAAAAGGCTCTCCAAGAGAACAGCTGAAAATAACTGTACCATTTCAAGAAACTCATGTCTGCCTATGCAAGCAGACTCTTTAAATAAGGTTAAAAACTAATAAAAGAGTAGCACTCATATTCCACCACAATGAACATAAGTCGTGTTTTCCAGCAAAGCAAAGTGAACAATGAAAATCTACTGCCCTATGAAAGAGAATTGGCAAGCAATCAGTAAACCAGTAAAGAAAATGAGTCACCACATACCTTCTACATGAACTAGAAAGGCAAATATCAAAAAGAAAGTTGGAATACTAAGGTACTTCACTTTGATGGAAGCTCAACTCAGCTTGTTAACAATCCCCAAGGACAACATATAGCCACCCATCCCACACAAGTAGAAAACAAAAGAAAAATTTAAAATTAATAGGAGACACTTAATACTCAGAGGACTTCCAGCAAAAAAAGAGTTCCATGAGGATAAAATTATTTTTTAGCCTAGAAAATAAAATGATTCACCTGTTTGTAATTTAATTTTAGAGAGAAGTATTTGCTGGGTAATATTTATTTGTAGTAATTTAGCAAATATCAAATAACTGGTCATAAGATTTCAGCCAAAAATTAGTAACAGATAAGACAAGCAGCTACAGTCACCCATACTCTACTTCATCACGTAATACATCAGGATTTCAGCAATATAAAAAATACCAGTCAGTCATATTATCTCACAGGCACATTCTGCAAAGCATTATTTTCATCAATAATTTGCTATTGTTAGTATCAATCTTTATGGAAAAAAGTCAACATATGAAGCATAACAAAACCTTCAACATACAACAAACTTTACCAAAATGTTTTTATTTGACATTATATTCTGTAGGAAGACTATAACCCTTGTTACCAACTGACAAGTTACTGAAATCACCGAAATAACTGTAACTTAGATTTTGGCAAACACTTCCCAGTTAAAGGTGTAAATAGTACAGTAAACAGTCTGAAGACCTCAACAGCCAACATTTTTTTAGGAAGCATCATAAAATACCCACCCTGCAGGTAACTGAGTGCAAAGACCAGATTTATTCTGCATAAATAGAACAAAAACTAGTCTTAAGTCTTGGCTTATGATCTCTCATATTTAATCACTATTTCATGAGTCACACATGCAAAATTGCATTCTAAAATACCTAAAGAATCCATAAAACATGGTAAATATGCTTGTTCAGAAAAAAAAAAAAAAGGTTCTGAGGAGCTAATATGAAGAGTATCTGCCCACTTGCCTGTTTGCTAAATGTATACTTTGCAAAACTTTCAAATAAAGCATCTCTGAGCTTTTTCTGTAAGTCCAGTTGGATAAATTCAACAGCATGTTCTGTTGTCTGCCCTATTCTAGTTTCTCAGACTGTATCCCTCTCAGGCCAGAAGAACTCTGTGGAAGAAGGGCAGTTCTCACAATGGCTACGCTTCTGGTCACATTCACAGTTCTACAATACGTGATTTCAACAAAGTGGAAAATACTGCAGAGGTTGTATTTCTGAAATTTTTTCATTTAAAATACTTGCATTTAAAAATTAGAACGCATACAGAAATAAAACCTCTGTCTATCTGAATCAGTCCTTCAATTTCACCAGATCAAAATGGTTAATTTCTGGATTTTCTGGCTGATGCAATGAATATTATCAGAACAAAAGAGCAGTCATTGAAGATGAATGTTACACTCAGAAGCAGCAGCAACCCACGTACTCCCCAGCTGCTGTAGCTATGTACTAATGAATTTCTAACCAGGTATTAAACAGAATCTCTCTGGTACCAAAAGCACAGGTGTCTCTCATCTGACATCTTTTGTGTTCAACAGTCAGCTGCAGTGTTTGGGGGAGAGGTTAAAGACATTCTCTCTGGCTTGAATACTAAGCCAGTTTATTATAAACACACAATGATTTAGATGTGCAAACATATGCCTTTGTGTATGCAAACTGACACTTCATTGCCTTTTCAGGGCCTAGACAAAAATTAACCCAGCAGTTTAAAATGACCCCTCTCAATGACTGAAAACACTCTCAGTTTCACTAGATCTTTTGTCCTCTTTCAAAGTCATACAAACAACAAAAATGTTCCAGAAGCCCTACCTCCAAAATATAATTTGTTTCCTTAGGATTACAGTTAACAAATCCCTAAACTTCCTCTTCTTAGAAGAATATTGGGGCAAATCCAGGGAGACAATAACATGATTAAAAAACAGACACTTGCAGAAAAACAGACCCTAGCATTAATGATATGGATTTTAATTGGTCTCTTCCCTTATTGCTTGAGTTTCTAAGCACCTTTCCTACATGCATTAAGTGGTGAGATTAGCATCTACCACGAGTATCTTTGTTCATTCTCTCCTTACATGAGCTGTATTTTGGGGCAGAGACTGTTTTTATCCAAGCTGTATTTGCTGCTATGAGTATCTTTGAGAAGTCAAGTCAAAACCACCCCTCTCTCATTTGAAGATGACCAGGATAAACTCGTGGAATTTTGTGTTGCCATATACACCTGTTTCCCACATAATCTCTGATTCCCACAAACTGTACTGCAAACTTGTATCTACAATAAAAAAATACCCCTACACCTACAGACCACAATAAACCACAACAGTTTCCACCCTTGGATATTATCTGAAGTTTTTCAGATAATGGGGCACAGGAAACTAAACATTTCAACTCACAGTACTTTTTAGTGTGAAAATTCAAAGATGGGTGAAGGAGATCACAATTTAGCTCCTAGTGCAATGGGAAAATATAAAATACAGTTAAACTTGTCGAAAACTGCATAACTCTGCCTACTGGGGGACTGTGTGTATGCATGTGCATAGGCATAGAAGTGCAGTATTCCTTTCTCCCCACAGAGGGTCAATTGCCATCGCAAAAAAGGTTAAAAAGAGGGAAAAAAAAAAGAAAAAACCTAGATATATACACATAGACATATATGGAAGATGATGGGGTTGCACCAACCAAGCAAGCAAACATAATGGCAGTTCCTCTGTATCACTACTCCTCCTTAATAACCAAATAATACCAGGTACAAGTTGGCACAGCTGGAAGAACACTAGTTCATTTATCGTATTCTGAGTATTTGTTTTACAGCTTCAAAAGGATCAGACATTTAAAATGGAAACAACGCAATTAACGTACGAATGTTCTCACCCAGGAACAAGAATTCTGTTTTCTGTTCATCTTGATCATTTGATTTCAGATCTTTCTCCTGCTGTTCACCAACATCCACTGTATCTAACTACCTTTTAAAAACAGATTTCTCTAACCAACTTTTTTTAAGCCACCCCACGCCCCCCACCCCCCTTCAACTTCCTGGCCTGAATTTTAAAAATGACATAAGCAATTTTCCTCTTCGATACCAGTATCCAATCCCATACCTACAAACAGGTAATGGGACTTCTTCCTATTACCTTTCTACAGACAAGCACAACCTGATGCACATTTCATCACCTATGACAAATCAAGCTTTAACATTTGATTCAGATACTGATACTCCAGGTATTTCTGAAAGCGTTTACAGACATCTCACCCAGCAGCTGCATGCCCTTTAAAAAAACAAGACTTTAAACTTCATTCTTTCTCTTTCTAGCTTTGTTCTCATACTGGCCTGGTTAAAAACCTGAACAGTACATATACTAACAAATTAAAAAGACTTTTCATTTCTACAAGCAGAAAATAAAATAATTAAGAGTATTACCCTAAACAGCTGAACCACCCCCCACTCCCAACAATTTGAGCTTTAGTACCCCAGATCTATTTATTAATGTTTTATAGTGCACCAGTGTGCTTACTAACGAAGCTAACATTTCACGTTGGACCAGAGAAAAAACAACATACTTCCTTTTCCCAGACCTTCAAAGAGAGACATGGTAAGCAGGTCTCTACTTTTAATCTATGTTCTTTGAATATAAATGCATTTTTTAAATCAATTTGGAGAGATGAAGGATGAACAGCATCACCAACTTCTCTACCCCACAAAGACCTGCCTCATCATAAAAGACTGATGCCTGGTGGAAATTCTATTCAGCCACTCATCTCTTTTAAACTTTCTGTACTTTAAGCCAGACAAACAAAATAAAAACATAAAACTTGATGTGACAGGATGCCCATTATATCCTCAGAAAACGAATGCAAAAGACTAGCATCAGGGTATCTGCCTGTTGTGTTTTAAGATACAAAGAATCAACTCATCTTTCTTAAAACTTGTCCGTTAGTTTTTAATCAGTTCAATAT